GATAGTAGTTTTGTAGGTTAGGATTTGGAGAGTGTATGATTATAAGGTACTTGGACCCTTGAGGTAGGGAAACCAGAATACGGAACCCTGGAAAGGTAGGTTCTTCCTAGGTACTTGGACGTGTGGGGTAACTCTTCTACGTTACCTGGTCACGTGAGAAGAGATCCCTGGTTAATAAGGCGCCAGGTACCCATATACATATACATGTATATATATATATATATATATATATGTAAATATATGTGTATATATACACACATACAGTTATTTATAATTCTAGATGTATATATATATATATATATATACACATAGATATTGTGTATATATATATATACAAAAAGAGACAGAGAGAGAGAGAGAGAGAGAGAGAGAGTATATCCTTAGGCTTGAAAGGGGCTCCTGTATCGGTATCTTTACGCCTACGGAACAACTGTATAGGAACACGGAGCCTCAGGGCTGGCAACCGTCTTGGTCAGAATAACCGACTAGGGAGGCTACTTGAGCAAGTTCCCTAAAGCATGACCGTAAGCCCCAAACCCTGTATGCGTCTCGTAGCTATAAAGCTATTATTTGGGCCGCTGAACCTTCCAAATCCCTCCTACCAAGAATCGTAGTAATGACGTTACAAGAGAGGCAACAAATCACATACAAGCCAGCCCTAGCAAAGCCTGTATGATAACCCCCCACGTTTTCAACTCTACAGCGCTCGCACCCTCGCCCGCCGAGCTGAAGGAGATCGGCAAGAAGTATGGCAAGTCCTGGGCACAAGTAGCTTTGATTGCAAAGATGGCCAATGCTTCAGACTTTGCCTGGACCCGAAAATGCTCATGTTTTTGGGAGTCCTAGCATTACTTCTTCTACTTTTTATTATAAATGCTACTACTAGCACGACGACGACTACTACTCTCTGCCTTTCAGCCGGGGTCTCTACCCGACTTGGCATTACCAAGTCTGACAAGCACCACCATACTCTGCTAGGAGGCCAACAGGGGTTTCAACCTGTTGGGGTTTAGTAAGGATTAGGGTTCCCATTCTAGGGTTCATATAAAGGAATCCCTACCCCAAGAATCTTAAACTCCCCGTTTTGTCCTCCCACCGTACGCCGAAATTCCACTTGCAGGGCGAAGTATCCAAGGCTTCCTTCCGCGTTCTGTTGTTTCCAAAAGAGGTCCTAAGTACCTTTACTTGTAGGCCCCAAAGTAGTTCCTTGTTGGGATATCCGGCTGGATAATTACACATATGTCTCTTTCACTTCCTTCGTGTCTGTCTACTTTACTACTTTAGGGGCGTTGATAATTGGAACAGGGTTTGGGGCCGACTATACTGTAGTTATAATAAGGAATCCCCAAAATGGTATAGGCAATTATTTAGACTAGACCCCTATACTAGACACCCACCCCCCCAAAAAAAACAATCGATTCTAAAATCGATTCCAGCACACCCCCCTTCCCGGGCCGTTGTTCTTATGGCTTGAGGTACAGGCTTTAGAGAATTGAGTTTCGTAGGTGGGGCTCAGGCGTAAGGTTTAGAGCTGTCAGGTTGCCTTACCCAGAGGGTCCAAGTACCCAAATAATAGGGTTTTAGATCCCTAAATCCATACCCTGAGTGGTTTTTGGAGCGTGAAACCCTACTATTTGGGTACTTGGACCCTTAGGGTTATGGACTCGCGCGACTTCTCAGGTGGCTTTGCGATGGATCGTTGACAAAGGAGCGACGTTCTCTACGCAGACACGCTGCTGGGCTTACCCCAAAGGTCCAAGTACCTAATTATCATATGCTCTCCAAAAGCCTAACCTACATGTCCTAAAACCGAGTAATATTCAAGTATTCATGCACTCTCAAAATCCTAACCTACATAACTACTATCCTAAAACCGAGTACCTAATTATTGGGTCCTTTGGACCCTTGGTTACGGGGGGTTGAATTCCACACCTTTGTCAGCTCTGCCTCTAAACGGTCTTGAGCCCTCGACCCCGAGTAAACCCTAAACCCTACACCCTAAACCCCTAAACCCTAAACCCTAAACCCAAAGGGCTACAAGGAGGAAGATGGGTCAGCCGCAGGCTCCACAATCCTTGTAACAGAACATATGGGTGGTTGTCAATGTTAGGGTACCTTGTTGGGTCCTTATTATAATACGGCACCTAATATTAGGGTACCCAAAAAGGGACCCTAATTTTGACAACCACCCATATGTGTCATATATGCAATACAATACTAAAGCCAATAACATGTTATATACTTTGATACTCGACCCAAAAACTCATTACTTCAGAAGGAAGCCATGTTACCGTAAGTTCTGGTCTGTTCTGGTAACCCAAAGGCTCCATGTACCTTTTTAGTAGATACTTAAGCCTTACAGGGCTCCCTATATAGGTACTTTAAGGCCTAAGTATATACTATATGGGCACATGGAGCCTTAGGGCTAGAAACCTCAGGTTCCACCGAGCATTTCAAGGAGGACCTCGACATATTCAGCTTCCAGCTCTCGCCGGATGATCTGGCCAAACTAGAGACCGTTGCGTAGCTTCGGGTTCAATGAGGTGCGGGTACTCTTGATGGTATAAATCCTGCATTACCTTAAGGATCCTAAACTATGGGAAATCATCAACCGTATGATGAGGGGTTCAGAGAGGACTATGAGGCTTCATGCAGCGTCTTCAAGAACTTGGCACAAGGTGTGGAAACGTTGATTTTCATAGGGTCTTAGGCTTAGCTACTGCGGGCTCTTGGATGTCTGGGTGTACCTACACCCTAAGTATAACGCTCTTCTAAACAATCCCTATAATATCCTATAAGCCCGAGGTCTAAGCTCCCAAGACCTTCCCCTAATAGGCTTCAGGATCCACACCAGCAAGGCCTTAAGCCGAGCCCCCAAGCCTTAGGCCTTGAATCCTAAGCCCCTGCGCTCGAAAAACTAAGCCCCTCAGCCCTCAACCCTAAACCCTCAACCCATATGGGAGTTTCCGAAAATAGGGGACCCTAATATAGTATAGGATCCTTATTATAGGGACCCCAAATAAGGTACCCCTAATTTTCGGAAACTCCCAAAAAGCCCCCAAGCCTAGAAGAACCATCTCCGACAATCTCGTACACCTTAAACTCGAGACCCTAAAGGGCCGAAAAGGCGCAGAAAATAGAGGCTAAGGGGTTTAGGTTTAGGGGCTTAGGGTTTAGGGTCAAGGGTTTTAGGGTTAAGGGTTTTAGGATTTGGGTGTTAGGATTAAGGTTTAGGGTTTAGCGTTTAGGGTTTTGGGATTAGGGTTTAGGGTTATTGCAGGGTCGTAGAAGCGCTTTGTACTGGTGGTGATCTAGACGAGGTCTCACTGGGCCTCAGGATCCAAGAATTAGGCTGTTTGCCTGAGGAAGTTAATTAGTTTTCTGGGGAGGTTATGGTAGTTCGGTTCGTGGACCCTTTCGGGAACCTCTGAAGCGTCTAGAAGCCCCGCCTGCAGAGCCAAAAGTGCGCGCCTTGCCGTGCAGCCCAGGGCTTGTGTTTACTTGGAGGGTCGGCGGACTTAGTAAGTAGGTGGTAAGTAGACTTATACGTACCCTAAAAGGGACCCTAATTGGGGTTATGGTACTTACAAGTCCTTAAAATAACCAGTTACTAAGTCCCCCGACCCTCCAAGTACGTAGGGTTGTTGGCTTCAGGGCCAGGCAGTACTTTTGAGCGTGGTCAGCTTGACGTACTGTCACTACCCATTGGCCCCAAAGTAGTTCCTTTTGCGGATTACCTTATACGATTCTAAATATGAGCCCCCAAAAGGAACTACTTTGGGACTTAGGGTATTGATCAATCAGGATCGAATGTGGCATAACAGAGCCACTCTCACGGAAACCGAAAATCAGACCATTGGCTTCGTGTAGTATTCGACACAGTTTCAAAGGAAGGTGTGAATGTTCAACAACAGTATGCCCTTGCACTTCCTGTACAACTATTGACTATACTCTCATACATGCCCCTAAACCCTTTAGCCTTTAACCATATACACTATTTCGTGAGCACTGTGTAAAACGTTCTACTGTAGCTTTTAGGGCTTCGGGTTCTAGTTCGAAACCCGCCCAAAATCCACCCAGCCCTACACTAGTAATAGAGGGGGCTTAATAGTCAGCATAGGGCTTCAGGATATGTTCGAGTATACTTAAAATAAGGAACCCCAAACCCTAGGTGCAGTATTACTGATTGCTCAAGCTTCTATATTTCCCTGAGGGTCCGACAACTTAAATAGTTTGGTATTAGGTGCTGAAGCCATTCAGAGCAAGGCATTCGGGAGCTGAAGCTGTACTAGGTGGGTATACGGACCTTCTAGCCGAATCATCACAGTGGGGTTTCTGGGGGGTATGGTGGAAGAAGATCAGAAACAAAACTATAGTATCCCGCTCGTTGTTATTCAATAACTTGTACCACAGGACACGACTGTAAACCCTACCTTGGCTCGGACTCGGGGAGTTAGGGGTGCGGGGTTCAGGGTTTGAGTGTTTGAGTTTGGGGTTGAGGGATGAGGTGTTAAAGTTTAGGGTGTTTCGCCCCGTGGTGGGATCCCACTATGAGCCCTGGTCTACACACCACAGGTCGCTACACATCTCTACACAATCCCTGTCCCCCTCCGTATATCGGGAAGACCTAAACCCAAACCCTTAAACCCCAAAGCGCTCAACCGTAAGCCCTCTTTAACCCAAACCCCAAACCTTAAACCCTAAACCCCAAACCTCAAACCGTGAACTCTGAACCCTAAACCTATAACTCCCGAACCCCAGACCTCAAACCTTAAACTCTGAACCTTGAATTCCGAACCCTAAACCCCAAACCTGAAACCTTAAACTCCGAGCCCCAAGCCCTAACTCCTAAACCCTAAACCCCAAAGCTCAAACCTTTAACCCCAAACCTTGAATTTTGAACCCTGAACCCTAAACCCCAAACCTAACCCCTAAACGGCAAACCTTAAACCCTAACCCCTAAACGCCAAGCCCCAAGGAGCCCAAGAAACCCGAACCAGGCAGAGCCGATAGAAGATGCAGGCCACTCAAGAGCTGTGCCCGATGCTGAGGGGTTTCTTAGGCTACTTAAAGGGGCTCTTGAGGATTGCTTTTAAGGGGGATCTATAGCCCTAAGGCTCTAAGGACTCATATTTTGAAGGGTTTTGGGAATTAAGACCATATTACGGCAGGTTTTTGGGCTATTTTGAGCCTTAGGGTAAGGATCCAAACCACCGGTACTCGGATGTAGGAAAGAGATATGTGGGTGTTTGTGTGTCTGTCTGTCTTTCGGTCGATTGGTCGGTCGGTCTGTCTGTCTGTCTGTCTGTCTGTCTGTCTGTCTGCATCTATGTTTGTATGTACGTTTGTATGTCGTATTTATGTATGTACACAGGTATAGATATAATACAGGTCCCAAGTTTTGAGAGACAGTAGTCTGCCACGCAACGCCGCAATGATCAAAGCCAGGCCGGCGTGGATGCAAGTGTCAATAATGGTTGACAATGTTGCCACCTCGCCTGGGAGCCCATAGCCGGCCATTGTACGAGCTCCGCCCTACAACTATGGCAACTATGCGTTCTCAACCTGCTATTGTGCAGCTTTTGGCGCTACGTTCAACTTAACCAAAGTGTCTTCTGCCTTAGATGTCTTGTGGCTTGGGGTGCAGGAACCCAACAACATTTATTGGAGTGTTTTTAAGGGCCTTGGGATGTTCCACCTTCCAGTTTAGAGATTTCTACAGACTTGAGACACGAGTTCCAACTTCCAGTTTACAGATTCCTAAGGACATCGTAAACACGAGACACAACGCCTAACCTGAAAGACCATGCAGCTTCTCCGGAACAGTTAAATGCAGACCCAGGCTCAGCGTGCTCTACGGTGCGAGTACCGCCCTTGGGGAAACGCCGTCGGGACACTCGGTCGTTCAGGGTTTCTGGCTATGGCATTTTTAGGAGTTTGGGGTTTTAGTTCTTGTTGCTAGGGCCCTGCGCACACTTGTGGGAGCACTTCGGCGCCGGCTCAAAAAAGGGATCTCGCAGCAGCCGTGTCACTGATTCGTGGGACTTACCTCTTGATGCGGAGTCGGTGTTGTCCTTAATTTGAGGGAGGTGTCCTCTGCTTGTGATGTCTATCCAACATGGAGACCCGAGACGGCATATCTCGACGTCTCCATGCGTCATTATCCTGTCCTTGCTACAGTGAGGAGGGTCTGTTCTATCTTGCTTCGTAGATGTCCTTTACCATGCTGCTTCGGATACGTGCTGCTTCTCTTAAGCGTGCTGTCTCAGCTTTTGTCAAGCGCGCACTGCACGCGCGCGCACGGCTGAGACAGCATGCTTAGTGTCAGAACTGCATAGATTCGATTTTTGAGAATGCTCCATGGGTTTCACACCATTCGTGCATGCTGCTTCGGCTGCGTGCTGCTTCGTTAAGCGTGCTGTCTCCGCTTTAATGTCAAACGGGCACTGCACACACACGCACGCAGCTGAGACAGCATGCAGAAGCGAAGCAGAAGGCAGCATGCTATTGGCCGGCTATGATTGTTTCAATATTTCCAGATCATCATCACCATCACCATGATGATGATGATCATCGTTGCTGCTGCTGCTGCTGCTGCCACTCGTGCTGCTGGATCGGGGGTGTAGTGAACACGTGATAAGACAACATATGTAGATCAAAACAGAATATAGTTCGGACAACTCCACTTAATCCCAGGCCCCGTGAGTCTGCAAATAGGCTTCAGGGCTTTAGGGTTAAGGGTTAGGGTTACATGCAGTGTTCATAGGGTCTAGGGTTTTGGATTTAGGATGTGTTTTTGTTGCGTGGCTTTTACATCTGACTTTCGTGACTTTCATGTACGTTCGGTAAGGTTCGTTTTTTGCTTTGCCTTGCCGGGCGAGCGTTTTCTAGTGCATATTGAGATATTGAAATTTAGCATCTGTATTGGAGAATGCCAATCAGTAAGGTACACCAGCCGGCCATCCAACAGAGCCCACATTCAAACCCGCAAGTTATGCAAGTCCTAAACTGTAAAGTAGTGCCAAAGGTCTAGGGAAGCTTTATCAAGGTCAATGGCTGCAGCCGTGTCGCAGCTGAAAGCCATCAAAGCCTTCAACTCACCACTGAGGCGTGTGGGTTTGGGAAAATACAGGTCTGAGGAATGAATGCCATCATTCCGACTTATTCCTGTGGGCTCCTTAGCAAAAGGTCGATTGGAATATACCGCCCCGAACCAGGTAACTGAGGTCTTGAACTACAGGGTTTCCATCTTTACGGTCCTTGGCTGCTGGGGATTCGGGGAAGTTGCCGAGTTGCAGTGGGTTCGAAATAAGCTTACCTCACTTCGGGTAATGTAGAGCCCCGAAAACACACGCCCAAGAAAGCTTCAGAATCCTCATTCGAGCGGGGGGGCGGGCGGGGGGGGAAGGCGACTCGCACATATGTTTATCCTCATAACTATTGCTGTTGTCTCTGTTATTGCACTTCCGGGGGAGGTTGACTTTTGTATTTAGATGTGTTTAGCCAGGTTTTGTGAAAAGCCCCCACTGCAAAGCTACCTACTAAGCCTAGCCCCGTAACCTTCAAGTACATTGTCAACACTTGGAATGAAACATCAAACCCTCAACAACGTCAAGTCCAAACAAACCTCTACGGCATCCGAGAAAAGTGCAACCTCGTAAGCCTGTGTATTTCCAAGAAGTGTACAGTACACTTCTTGGAAATGCATAGTACATACCTGTATCGACGTGTAGAGTCTTAAAGACCCAAAGGCTCCATGTACCTTTATAGCAGATACTTAAGCTTGAAAGGGGTCCCCATATAGGTACTTTAAGGCCTAAGTATGTACTATATGGGCACATGGAGCCTTGGGGAGAGGACCTAGCTTGGGCTCTTCAAAGTCCTGGAGATTGAGCACTGCCAAGCTTCGTATAGAATTTTATGCATTCTTGGGACGCCTTACAGAACCCAGCATACACAATGAGATCTGAGTCTTCCAAACCCCAGGCCCTTAACCCCTGAACTGAAAAGACCTCCCCGAACCCATCCTAAACTCCTACACCCTCAAACATAAACCCTCAACCCTAAACCCACCCTAGACTCCTAAACCCTCAAACCCACAACCCTAAAACCCACCCTAAACTCTCAAACCTAAACCCTCCACCCTCAACCCACCCTAAACTCCTGAGCCTCAAACCTAAACCCTCAACCCTCAACCCACCCTAAACTCCTAAACCCGCAAACCCTAAGCCCTCAACCCTAAAACCCACCCTGAACTCCTAAACCCGCAAACCTAAACCCTCAACCCTAAAACCCACCCTAAACTCCTAAGCCTTGCCAGTTCTACGGCGTTGACGGCCCTCCGCTCTGGCCAGGCCTAACCCTTCTATGGTAAATTATAGGGTATCCTACCATGAAAAACCATATTCCAACTTTCTGGAGTTCCCTGTAAGGGTTCTATAAGGGATCTTTTTGGGGTTTAGAGGTTTCGGGTGTAGGGGGGTGTAGGGTTTCTAGGGTAACGGGCTTAGGAGCTCCTTAAAGGGATCTGTTAGGGTTCTCTAGAGGGTTTACGGAGTTTACGGTTTACGTAGAGTTTCCGAAAATTAGGGATAGCGTATTATTTGGAGGGTCCTTGTATTAAGGATCCTACTTTTTAGGCTACTATATTGAGTATTAGGGTCCCCCATTTTCGGAAACTCCCATGTAGCATTGGGAGTGTAGGGTTTACAGGGTTTGTGGGCTTAGTGGTTTACGGTTTAGGGTATAGTATAGGGGCCTGAGTAGATAGGAATACGGTTCGAGGTGTGTGATTCTGGGCTCCATGCCACCAGATCCCGCAGAGGATGAAGAGTTTGTTTCAACCGGAACTCCATTCCACTCAGAACTTGGAGCGACTCATTGCCTTGTTGCGGCAATGGGAGACCTTATACTCCCGCCATCAGCCGGAGCTGGCGATGTATGCGCAACAGTGCGGCATCACACCTCCGCTTGTCGCAATTGCTTCATTGCCTGCCTGGACGTGCAATCCGATCAGCTCCAACGACAAAACAACTTAAGCTCCGAATTTACATCCCAAGCCTCAAAACAACAAAGCGCCCTACACTCCTAACCCCTACCACCCTAAAGCAACAAAACGCCCTACACTCTAATATCCTACCACCCGAAAACAACAACATAGCCTAAGCCCTAAACCCTACCACCCCAGAACAACGCAGGCTAAAACCCAAAACCACAGAAAACCCAAGCCCTGAACTGCTGTTGAAGGCCCAGCAGGCTGAGGAGTGCAGCACCCAGATGAACGGTTTAGATTTAGGGTTTCGTTTTTTTTTTACATGTGTTCAGTGCTTAGGGTTTTTGTTTTCATGTGTAAAGGGGTTTAGGGTTCAGGGCTTGTGTTTCTTCAGTTTGAAAGTTTAGGGTTTGGACTATATTGGAGTTTTGTGAGGTGTTGTTGAAACGGTTTGGGGCTTAGGGTAGTTTGGGATTTGTGGTGTGGTTTACGGTGTTTATGCCACTGCGGTTAGTAGTGCTTCATCATGGCCACACACTACGTACCTTCTTTAAGGGTTCTACTTGGAAGGGCAGGGGACTTAGCAAGTAGGTTATAAGTAGAGTTATAAGTACCCAAAATAAAGTTAGCCCAATTATAACCCTACTTATAACCTACTTTCTAAGTCCCCTGCCCTTCCAAGTATTCGATCTATATTGCCCCGTCACCCACGGATTACAAGAAAAGGACTTCGTCAAGCTCTAAGAACGCCATCTGGCCTACCCAAGGACCCTAGACCGTAAACCCTGAACCTAGCAACAACCCGAATTCCCAAACCCTACCTGTGACTCCCTTAGAAAGCTCCTGATAAAGGTAGGTTACTGGGGGCTACATAAATTCTACCTCATATCCTACCTTTTTGTAGGCTATCTATTTTTCGAAATAACAGATCTTAACTGAAACACTAGGTACCTAAAGAAGGGGTAGGTAGAATTTCCTGCTGCTACATCCAACACCCAAAGCCCTAAGCCCTAAATTCCTAAATCGAAGCCCTTTCTCGAGAATATGAACCCTTCAGCCCAGACAGCCCACGATGCACGAAATGCACCAAGCTCCCGTCCCAAAGCTCCCTTCACTTATGTAGCTGAGCGAGTACACTTTACACGTTTGGGGGTCATGATAATTATCATCTAAAGAACTGTCAGTTTACGCTTTTTGGGGCTCATGACTTCCTGGCAACCTGAAAAGAGGTAGCGCTTGGAGTCGGTCGCGGGTATTTGCTGCAAGATGGCAACATGGTCCCCCAAGGCTCCCCAAAGGCTCCATGTACCTTTGTAGTAGATACTTAGGCTTAAACGGGGTGCCCATACAGGTACTTTAAGGCCTAAGTATGTACTAAAATGGTACATGGAGCCTTAGGGCTCCGTCAAGCAGGCGAAGCTTACAAAGGGCGCTGTGTTGATGCTTCAAATCGGCACCCAGAGAGCCCAATACCCCTTAACTAAGGAATATAGCTTAAATCATAATATGAAGCCCTTTATATTTTAAGCCATATTCCTTAATTAAGAGGTATTGGGCTCTCTGGGCATGGCCGGAGCATCGTGCGGGAGCATGGACCAGGCCTTGGCTCAAGGAATCTCGAATCATCCAGGCGTTGGGGCACGATGGACATGGCAATGACTTCCGGGTTTAGGGTTTAGGGTTTTGGGAATCAATCAGCAGGATGAAAAGAAATACAAGACCGTGCAGGCCATCGACCACGACTTCTTGTTGGTTGCAAAGCACCTCTGACAAGAACCACACCAAGCCCCAACAACAAACGCCTATGAAACCCCGCACGAACTATAGCCACCTCTTTCGAAGCATCTGAAACTTCCATCTGGAATCCTACTCCTCAAGCTCGCAGTAGAAGCTTAAGAACATAGCATGCGAACCATAAAACTCTAAACCCTCAGCCCCAAATCCTCGAATCCTGCTCTCCGGACAGCTGTTTGACTCAGGTGCCTCGCGAAGGTGTTGAAGCAGGAGGACCTCAACCTAAAACACTCTAAGGTTTAGCAGTTAAGGGTTTAGGCAGGGTTTGGGGCTCAGGGGTGTAGGGGTTGAGGGTTTAGCGGTTTAGGGCTCTGGAGTATCATAGTTTGGACTTGTTCCTGAAAGAAGCCATGAAATGAAGTTTTTTTTCGCGGTTACTTCAAAATCCAGAAACCCTGCGAGAACCCGATTCCTACAACCAAACCCGAACCTAGTTCGGCTTGGGGTTCAGCCTCGCAATGTGTGTGCCTTTTGCTTATTCACGGTGCCACGGTTCCTTTAGTCTCTAGCTGTGCAAGGATGTTTGCATTTCCCAGTTTGTATGTGTGCTGTGTGTTGCTCGCCGGGACCCAAGAAAACATCCAAGGTTCAATCTGGCAAGACGTGTTGAGCGCATAATGTAGAAGCCTACACAGTTGCGAATACCATCCCTTCCTTGTTGCCGTAAGGCGTTTTACGAACACTATCCTCTAGAGTTATCTATACGTGTTGTAGTGTACTTGTTCAGGCCCTTGCACTAGCCTCCGTTTGCTGGCTTGCGCAATGCCAGCTTGACAGTTTTTCCTGACCTTAATCTTGAGTTGTTTCCTGCCGACAATCATAGTATAGGGTTCAAGGTTTACAAAAACCCTGAACCATGAGTCCTAAAGCATAGGAATCACTCAACAATTTGAGCCAGGAATAGAGAACCAACTAAACCCTAAACCCGAGACAACAGCAGTTCAATAACACCTTAGATCGCCCTGAAACCCTCCTGTAAACTCTGAGCGGAGAGGACATGGCACTGCCAGCTTGGGAGTTGAACATGGCCAGTGCGGCCCGCGTGAGTGCCCTCGAGGAGCACGGGTAGGGTTTACCCTAAGGCCCTGAAGTAGTTCCTTTTTGGGGTTCATACTTAAAATCCTATAAGGTAATCCCAAAAAGGAACTACTGCCTATGGGTAGGGCTTTGGAGTTTAGCGGTTTAGGGTTTAGGGTAGAAGGTTGAATGTCAGGGTTTAGGGTCCGCTGCTGTCTGGCCATTGCTGTTATGAGACTCAGGGTTCAGGGCACTGTGCTATGCTTTGTTTCAGGAGCACAGAAACCTCTCTGTGTGTTTGGGTTGTTTGTGGTTTGAGGGAAGGTATGGGGTTTAGGACTATTTTAGGGTTGAAGCTTCGGGGGGGTTGACTTGAGGGTTTCAGGGGGTGTTTTTCTTTCGGGGTCTCGGGTTTAGGGCTCCAGGATTTAGGGTTTGGGGCTTGGGGACTGCTATATAGGCCGGTAGCCTGGGTAGGGTCTTGAGGTCTGTGACAGGATAGCGGTGCTGTTGTTATTTTTCATAAACCTCTAAACTCCTAAACCCCTTACACCCTTGATGCCCAAATCCCTAAATCCCAGACCCCTGAAGCCTAAACCCCTAAACCCTAAAACCCCCCAAACCCCTAAAACCCTAAACCCCTAAGCACTCGTGAGCCCTGCAGATGGATGCCCAGTAGTACCCTTGTTCCCTTTCTGTAGCCCTAGGTTCCCTACAAACTTACCCAATACCAAAAAGGGAGCCCGTTTTATTCCTAGGTTACTGGGCATCCTAGCAACTGTATGCTCTCGAAACTGCTAACCGACAGTTGCTACCCAGACCCCCGGGAAAATCCAAAAAATAGATCCCTTAATGGGGGTTCCTACAAAGTACCCTTAGTATTGCTGGGCATCCCAAACCCTAAACCCGTGCAGAAGGAGCTTATGTCCTGGAATCAGCTGCGTGGCGTTCTTCACAGCTCGGATGCAGCCACCGGTTCAGCGCTCAGTCGGGTTTAGGGTCCTGGGGTCTTGGGGTTTTGGGATTTAGGGTTTGTGGGTTTAGGATGAAGGATTTAAGGCTTCAAGGGTTTAAGTGTTTAGGGTTTTAGGGTTTTTATGGTTCACGGTCTTGGGGTTTAGTGTTATTTAGGGTTCGGGGTTCAGGGTCTAGGGTCTTGGGGTTTAGGGTTCAGGGTTCGGGGCGGAGGGTCTAGGGTCTTGGGGTTTAGGCTTTTGGGATACAGGGCCTATGGTTCGGTGTTTGGGGTTTAGGGGTTTTAGGGTTTAGGGTTTTAGGGTTTGGGGCTTTCAGGGTTTAGAGTGTTTAGGGTTTAAGGTTTGCGGTTCTAGGGTTTAGGATGACGGTTCGATCCCTGCAGCTTGGAGACCAAATGCGTAGTGGTAGGGGCACTATACTTCCATTAATGTACTTCTATTAGGATGAATCCCTGTATGGTATATGAACCTTAAGCACTTTTAGGGGTCATTTCGTCTTGAAGGCCTACACCATAAGTCCTGTAGAGCCCATATAGCCGTTAGAGGAACCCTTAAAGGGAAAGACCATGACTGGAACCCTAAACTAGGATGCCCAGTAGTACCCTTATTCCCTCTTTGTAGTCCTAGGTTCCTTATAAAGTTACCCAATACCAAGAAGAGAGGCCTTTTTATTCTTAGGTTACTGGGTATCCTAGTAAACCCGGGTTCATGTCATCTTTAGTCCTTAAGGTGAGAAGGCCCTGCGAGCGGATCTCGGCCTTTGCCTCTTGGAGTCAGAAGCTTGGCTCAGCACTAAAGATGGAGTCTTGGTGGGGTTTTACGTCGTTCGGGTCTTATGTTTGGGGTTCTGGGGTTTGAGATTTAGGGTTTGGTTTTAAGGTCCAGGCCGTAGGTCTTAGGATTTGGGTTTAGAGCTCAAGGCTTTCGGTTGGGGGCCGTATTCATGGCTTTCAGGATGTTGCATAGCAGCAATCCAACACAGCTAGGATTTCCTCTTTCTCCTTTCTTTAAACGCAGGCTTCTAAACTTCTAAACAAGCTTCCTGTGGGGGCATGACTCAAGCCTGTGCCTCATACGGTGAAGGTTCAGTACACCGTAAACCCGGAGCCCAAAATCAGCAGCCTGTAAGGAACCCGAGTTCAACTATCGAGGTCCCGAGACACCCCGTAAAGCCCTCACTGGCCCTCACCATCCCCCCTTGCCAAAAAATGTGGAGACCTGCACCCTCAACCCTCTGTCCTAACCCCCTACAGTAGAAGCCAGAAAGTTGGAATATCATTCATTATCGTAACCCCTTTAAGGTAAATTATAGGGGATCCTACCATGAATCCATATTCCAACTTTCTGGAGTTCCCTGTCACACCCCTCAACCCTACATTTTGAAACCCTTCAACCCTACTCCCCTCAAACCTGAACACTAGCCGCATAGACCCTCGTCCCTAACCCCTGAACTTCCCGGAGCCCTACCCAAAGGCTCCATGTACCCATATAGTAGGTACTTAGGCCTGAAAGTAGCCTTTTAGGGACCCCTTTAAGGCCTAAGTACCTGCTACATGGGTACATGGAGCCTTTGGGCTAAACAACAATCGACGTGTAACACCCTAGGACAAAGCCGCCTTCGCTTCACTCGACACCCGCCTTCGCGAAGCGGCGGGAGCTGCGGCCGACAACACGCCCCAGGTTCCCGATTGGGAAGGGTTGAGGGTTTTGGAAAATCAGGAAAAAAGCACTGACACATATCTTACCTTAAACTGCCAAAATCGGTTTTTTGGATGCACCCTAATGTAGAACTTATAAGGGACCTACCAAACGCAGGTTCTGGTAGTACAAAGTAGGGGTTCAGGGTTTACCGTTGAGAGTTTAGTCCCTAAGCCCTAAACGCTAAACCCTAAACCCCTAAACCCTAAACCCCTAAACCCTAAACCCTAAAGGGCTTCTTGTTTGGAGTCTCCGGGTTCCAGTTTTGGAAGCCCTACTTGGAGGGTCATGGGACTTAGTAAGGGTTCTTAAAGGGCTCCGTAAAGGGATCTATAGGCTTCCTTAAAGGGATCTATAGGGGTTTAGGGAGTAGGGTACTACTTGGAGGTTGATGGGACTTACCCAAGTACTTGGAGGGTCGGGTGACTTAGTAAGTAGGTAGTAAGTAGACTTATAAGTTCCCTAAAAGGGACCCTAATTGGGGTTATGGTACTTATAAGTCCCTCAAATAACCAGTTACTAAGTCCCCCGACCCTCCAAGTAAGGTTATAAGTACCTTAACTGGGATACATTTGCTTGTAAGATCTTATAAGTATAGTTACATCATCTTTAACCCTAGTTACAAAGCCCCATGAACCTGTAAGCACCTGGCCCTGTAGCACCTTCCTTTTCAAGGTTGTCTCCAGGATCCCTCAAGTGCCCTTTAGCAGAGATCTTATGCTCCTCTGTAGTGGGTAGTCAGGGTATATCAGAGGGTAGTTGGGGGGGGTCCAGGGTATCATGGTTCCTCACATAAGTCCTTAAGAAGGTAGGTTTTTCGGGGTCCAGGTGGGGTCCGAGTATCCAAAGAGAAGGGTTCTAATAAGACCTGAAATCCTATCACTATTCTCTAGCTCCTCTAAACCTTAAACATAAACCCAACACCAACGAGCACAATACCCCGATTCCTAAATCAAAGGGTCTGGGACGATCTCGTAGGAAACCTATAAGCCCGAACCTCCAAGGCTTCGAAACCCTCATAATTACAGCCTGGTCATACATAGGAATCTGCTCAGAAATCGTTGGGTCCTTACCCGTAGTAGCCTTGTTCCCTTTTTGTAGTCCTAGGTGCCTTGTTAAGTTACCCAATACCAAAAAAGGGAGCCCATTTTCTTCCTAGGTGACTGGGCATCCTAGAATATGGATGGCAACATTTGGCGGTTATTGGGTTAGGGTTGCTTGCTAACCAGGTTCTTACATGATGCCGTACCTATAGCCTGCCTTGGAGTTCCGACGTGGTTACCCCCTAGACCCTGTAAACCCTAACGGGTATAGGATCCTGACATACAAAAGGATGAACCACAAAAATTTGCAGTGGAGACGACAGGGACTCTGACGAGAGGGTCCAGATAAAGAGCGATGCCATGTTGAGGTTTCTAGGGTCAAAGGGGGAAAGGAGGGACCCTTAATGGGGACCCCTACCCTATATTGGGCTAAATAATGGGTATATCATAGCTATATTAAGGGTATATACCTAGGGGTCCTTAAGGGTCCCTCCATTTTCCCTTTGATAGGGTTAACCGAAACAACCCCGAATACCTCCTTTTGAAGGCCACCAGGGTTGTCTCAAAGTTGGCTTGGGAGATCTGGTCGGAGTGATGGATCAGGATTTAGGGTGCACTGTTTAGGGATTAGGGTTTAGCGCAACCTAAACCCACAAAGAATAAATGAGGAAGCTCCTTAGTCTACGGTTTATTGTTCAACGGATTGAAACCCGACAGGGTCCTAAGTATACAAACATGGGCGGTACTTGCGCAAACCATAGAAACAGTTCCTACTATAGAAGGCCTACCCTACTTCTCTGCAATGTTGTTTGAATACCCTTTGTACAGGCATTGAAGACCCGAGCTTTACGAGAGGCTTTTGTGGAATTTTCCAGCTGAGAGAAACTAAGTGCAGTAAAAGGCTGGAAGTGCATAACCAGTGTTGTTCGATATGCCCTGCGACGTGTCAGCACTGGTAACTCGTTTTGCAAGTGGCTCTTCTAGTAGTGTTTGGTCTACCATAGCCGTTTGTAGGTGCTGGGCCAAACTATTACATCCTTTCGGGGTTTAGGCAGGGGCTCTGAGCCACTTGGGAACCCTGCCACAGTCATACATACTACAGTGCTCGCATCCATAGTGCTTCTGCTTACTTGTTTTATACCAGACGTTTTAACTACACCCTAAGTCCCCAAAGTAGTTCCTCTGGGGGGGTTCATATTTAGAATCCAATAATGTGATCCCAAAAAGGAACTACTTTGGGGCCTTAGGGTAGAACTCACGGCGAGGTTGCGTCCACGCAGAGTTCTGCGCTCTTGGCGATCCATGCTGTGGCTTCGAAGAAGTGGGACGATGCCCGGCGTCTAGCGCCTGGGACGGACCAATGGAATGATCAGGGGCGATTTTTGCAACCAGGTTAGTTAAATAGAGTAATTATACCCTAAACTCTAAATGCGTTAAGTTTACGATACATGTCATAGGCTTTCTTTAAGAACCTACATAAAAAGGGATTCTTGAAGAAAGCTTCTGATGTGTAACTAGGAGAAGTCTTCAGACCTGTAAAGGAGGCCTGGATGTTAGAATAGGGTCCTACACAGACGCCTAGATAGTTTCGGTTCCAGTTCGTGACGTAGTGCATCTATGCTTGGGAAGTCTGCAGCAAGCCAAACATTATGTCCTATAAGGTGTAACCGGAGTATGAAAGGGATACTAAAACAGGTTCTGAGGCCCGCACGTGGCAAGTGCACAGAGGAGCTTAGGATTGCTGTAAGGGCTTTCTAATGGTCCTACTGTTGGGTAATGTGCGGGTTCTTGTTTGGGTTACTACAAGGGTACTATCTGGGTTGTTGTACGGGGTTTGAGACTGTAGAGGGCATCGGGGATTTTTGGCTTTACTGTCTTTGGAATCGTTGCTTTAGGTTTGTTTCAGGTGGTTTCGCGGTTCGGGAGTACTTCGGGATTTTGCGCGGGGTGGTTTTGGGTTTCACAGATTACAAAGTTGAAGCATTGCTTAAATGATGATCATTGCTGGGCGCTCTGTCCCTATAGACTAGACTTCGAGTTCATAAGGATATATGTGTTTAGTTTTTTTCTATTTGTCTTCCACTTCGGACTTGGCATGATTTAGCGATCAGGGTGTCAAGGTTGCAGTTTCAGGTTTGGGACTGTTCAGGTGCGTTGTTGTGGTGACAAGACTAGATGCTGCATATATGCAGTCAGTGCGGAAGGTAAAGTGAGTGCCCGTCAATGAGCCATGAAGACCCTCATCTCTTGGAATCATGCAAGTCAACGAGCCAACCACTCCTCCCCCTAAGGCTCCATGTGCCCATATAGTTAGTAGATACTTAGGCCTTAAAGTACCTATATAGGGACCCCTTTAAGGCCTAAGTATCTACTATAAAGGTACATGGAGCCTTTGGGTCCTTAACCTTCCATAACGTTCCAACCTCTACGCCCCGAACCCCAAGCCCAAGCCGGCAGCAACAATCATTTCGTTTCTGTCCATGTAGTCCGTTCTTGTCCTGGCTAGGAGGATTAGGGGGGTGTAGGCCTTCGGACATGGGCCCCGGCCCCGACCCGGTTTTAGGAGTTTAGAGGTTTAGGGGTTCAGGGTTGGAGTTTGGGGGCTTAGGGTTTACACCCTGCTGCCGGGCAGGTGTACCAAGCTTACGACTCCTTCCACACCACTTGGAACAGGCGTGCCGGGCATTGAAATTCCTCAAGGGTGGACAGACTACAAATAGGTGTCGCGATAGTTCCTATATACCACAGTATGTAGTATATAGCTAGCGGTTAATAGGCGCTCCTATATGGTAGCTGCATACCCAATGCGAGGGCGCAATGGGTACATGGATTAAAACAAGAGACCCCTTCGCAGAACCCTTAAAGGGGAACCCCCCTAAACCTTAACCCCCAAGAAAGGAACACTTAAAGGAACCTTAAAAGGACCCCGGAAGCCTCAGAGGAACCCGTACAGTCTAGTATCAGCCTCCAGACTATCCTTATAAGGCTCCATGCACTCATGTAGTACTATGCTTAAGCTTTAAGGTACCTATAGGAACCCCTGCAAAGCCCAAGCATATGCTACATAGTTGCATGGTGACTTACGGTAACTTTAATTTAATTTAAGTCTGATGCCAGGCTACCATTGCTCGCAGCACGCGCCCGGCATGAGACCGTATCTGCGCTGCCCCTGCGGCGCTCCGAGCTGTGTGTGCGTGGGTGTGCTTTTAGTTTGGAGTGGGTCGGGCCGGTGTAGAGTTTCTTAAGGGTCCATCGTAGAGTACAGGATTTTATGCGCATAATAGTGCTTTACCGGCAGACAGAGGTAGAAGTAACTTAAGTGAAGTATTTTCCTAGTTGCTGCTGTGCATATACCTGACTGACTTACCATAGGCAGGCCAAGTTTTGTTATTGATGGAGCTTTGGGGTCTGGATGATCGAGCGCGTCGGGTAGAGGAAGCTTCTGATCTGCATGTAGAAAGGAGAGTTATCGGGTGTCGGGTTTCGGATGATATAGGGGTCTAACTAATTACCAATACTATGTTGCGGGCTCCTCATGAAAGTGAATGCCTTATCCCGTCCCTAATCCCTAAACCCTAACTGACCCTAAACCCCAAATCCTGAAACCCTAAAGCCTAAATCCTAAACCCGAACCCTAAGGCTCAACATGGCCCAAAAGAATTGTATAATATGGTCTTTAGGCCCAAAAGCCTTTAAATATGAGTCCTTAGAGTCTTAGGGCAATAGCCCTGCCACAAAAGCCTTGCAAGGCTTCACAGCCTCGAGAGCTTCCTGGACGCTCCTGAGGAGTCCCGGGTTCCGATCCCTTTTGAGGGGTAGAAAGCCTTTAACGTTTTTTGTGGTAGTATAGTCCCCAAATCTTTAGGGTTTAGGGGTTTAGGATTTAAGGTTTAGGGTTTAGGGTTTCGTATAGTAGTAGGGAAGAAAGCCTTTAACTTTTTTTCGGGTAGTATAGTCCCTATATAATCCCTATATAGCCAAAAAGGCTAGGCTCTGTTAAGGGCTCCTTTGAGGGTGGTTCCTAGGGTATAGAGGATAGGGCACAGCAGGGCTCCTTTAAGGGCAAAAAGGGTTCAGGCCAGGGCTTCTTTCAGAGCTCCCTTAAGGGCTCCTTGAAGGGTTCCGGAGGGTTTCGGGTTTAGGGCTCTTAGGGTTTGGGGTGCTAGTGTTTTGCGATCGGAGCCTTTAAGGGTGCCTTTAAGAGTTCCTTGCAGTTTTCAGGGGTTCCCAGAAGAGGTCCTTTAAGCAGTTCTTTAGGGGTCCCTTTGAACAGTTGTTCGAGGATTCCGTTAAGGGTTCCTTTAAACAGTTCTTCAAGGATTCCTGTAAGGGTTGCTTCATGGGTTCCGCTAACGGTTGATAGTGGAAGTTCAGGACGTGAACTACGCGAAGGTTCATCTGGGAGTTTCTTTAGGTGCACTATTCTGTCTCTTCAAGGGTTGCTGCCTATAAGGGTTATCACAAGAGTTGCTGCCAGGATAGGAATCCTGAGCAGTCGTAGAACATGCACGGAAACGCGGTTCAAGGATTTGGGGCTTTCGGGTTCGGGGTTTAAAGTTAAGGCTAGACTAGAAGTACCACCTGCAAAAGAGGTTGTTTGTTTCATCCCCCGGGGCTGCATCGCACATGCAAGACATTTGCAGTTCGATGACACTGACACGCTACTCCGGTGATGTCATGCGCCGCTTCGTGTAGGCATGAGCTCCTGGCTCAGTGCACGGGACAGGTGCCTTGATCGAAGGTTGCCCTCGCGCGCATCCTTTTTGGGATTACCTTACAGGAGTTTAACAGTTTAAATATGAACCCCCCCAACAGGAACTACTTTGGGGCCTTGGGGTAGTGCGAAAGCATTGCACCCTCAGTGGCGTTTCAGCGCTTGGGGCTAAGGAGCCTTGCGTTTTAAAGTTTTGCTTACCCTAAGGCTCCATGTGCCCATATAGTATATATACTTAGGCCTTAAAGTACCTATATCGGGAGCCCTTTAAGGCTTAAGTATCTACTATAAAGGTCCATGGAGCCTCTGGCTTACAGTCATCCAGAGATCATAAACCTTGATATGAGCCTGCCCTGTTCTCTGACCCACCCCCCTTGGCCCTTTCAGAAAATACGGGACTGCAATATTGAAAGAGAAATAGCAGGTTTCTAACTTCTAAAGCTTAACGTCCATAAATCCCATAAACTTGCTGCTTCGAGATGCGACCTTGCCACGTTCAAGTCGAGATTTTCATGTTATCCAAACCGTAACCCCAAAAACCCCATTCAATCTCAATTTTCAGAAACATGCTCAAGGACCGAACCCTAAACCTTGAATCTTACCCTAAACCCCCAATTGAACTTTAAATCCTAAACCAGAGCCCGAACCTCGACTAAAGCTTGAGTTGTAGCACCTTACAGGGTTTCAGTACCGACATTATCAGTACGAGCCTGTGCCATTGATCTTCTACGTGTCTCCACTAGAGGTACCTGGGGTCCTTTCTACACTAGACTCTAGACCCTGACACCCTAAACCTTGAACCCTCAACCGTTAAACCCCGAACCCTAAACCGTGCCTCAGCCTTGGGGACCAGAATGCCTCCACTTATAAGTAGGGGCACTATACCCTTATACTGTGAATCCTTTTGTGATATATTAACCTTAAGCCCTTTTAGAGTTCATTTCGTCCTTCAGGAACCCAAGCCCTAAACCTCTAAACTCTAAACCCCAAACCCCTTCAAAAGCCCTCACCCTAAAACCCTACCTATAGTGTCGATTGTAGTTCCTTTTTTTGGTTTAACCAATTATATAGTAAGGATCCTATAAGGTAACCCCAAAAAGGAACTACAATGGAGACTATAGATAGTTACTAGTTTTGCAGGTCAGTATTGGGGAAATTCTTGTTGTCAATTAAGGGTCCCTCCTGTTCCCCTTTGATAAACTTTCTATACCCAGGAGCTCCCGAAGGCTAGCCGCCCATTGAGCATCCTCAACGACCGCTTCTTGCCAGCGAAGAGCACTCTGGGAGTTTCCGAAAATTAGGGGTTCCTTTAAAGGGATCCTATAAGGGTTCCTATAAGGGTTCTATAAAGGGTTTAGGGTTTAGAGTTTCCGGAAATTAGGGGTACCTTATCTTGGGGGTCATTAATATAAAGATCCTACTATTTAGGGTATTATATTAGGGTCCCCTATTTTCGGAAACTCTCATGTGGGGCGTAGGGGTGAGGAGGAAATTGGGGTCTTGGAGTGTAGGCTTGAGGACCGAGGGCTTCGGGGTGAGGAATTTGGGCTTCGGGGGTTAGGGCTGCGGGTTGAGGGGTTTTGGGTTTTGGAGTTTAGGGTTGAGGGCCGAGGGTTTACGGGGGAGGACTTTGGGTTTAGGGGTTCGGGCTTGTTGTTCATATGCAGGTATCCCTTAAGGCCTGCGCGTCCTCTTCCCGGGCAGTGGCTACAAAAGTGCCACTAGCCAGGGAGAGGGGTGGGAGCAAAATCTACAAGCCGTAATGAGGCAAAACTAAAACGACAGGGCTGATTCGGGCTGGGGTTTAGGGGTTGAGGGATCAGGGATTTAGGGTTTAGGGTTTAGGGATTTAGGGCTGAGGGTTTAGAGGTTAGGTGTGAGGGTTTAGGGGTTAGGGTTGACGGTTTAGGACAAGTAGACCCTGCATGTAGTACTTTGGGGTGTCACTTTCTGTGTCATTTACAGGGTCCTGCACAGAAAGTAATAGGTTGGTTATCTACAACAGGTACTACGGTCCAAAATCGGTGAATGTTGTTCTAGCGTTTATTGGGATGACGAAGTATGTAATAGATCCTCATACGAGAGTATATGTTCGGCTGCTTGCTTAGGGTTGAGGGTTTCGGGTAGCAGCTGCTTCTCTTAGTGTTCGTGTTTATAGTATATTCGATTCAAGGCCTAATCCGGTCCCGTAGATCAAAACAACCAATATAAGCGTTGTTGATGATCGGTTTAGGGTTTAGGGTTTTTCCCTTGACTGTTGGTGGCACACACTAGTTTCCTGCTATACCGGAAATACAGAAGCTCATGATCGGTTTAGGGTTTAGGGTTTATCCCTTGAGTGTTGGTGGCACACACTAGTTTCCTGCTATACCGGAAATACAGAAGCTCACCCGAGACCCTACAACCCCCCTCAACGCAGGCTTCGTCGCCTGGGTGGACAGTGCTTTCGGAAAGGTGGCAGTACCTTGTCATGCCAGCTTTAGGTTCCTAGGTTACCCTGAGGGTCCATGTGCCCAAATAGTAGATACTTTGGGCACAATGTACCTAAAAAGGTTGTACTTTAAGGCCAAAACATATACTATTTGGTCTAGAAGTTCAAGGTTAGAAGACTTTACGGGTTGTATTGGAGGCAAGTGGGGTCTATGTTCAGTTTAACACGGCAAGTATGTTTCCGGCCACTGATCACTAGTCTTCCGAAAGGCCGAATGTTGGACCATCCAGACAGATACACTAAGCCCTGGTTCGGGAGCGCTAGATCTTTTTGCGCTAGACAGTTGATTGGAGTACCTTGTCGTGGATTACTCGTTTCAGCTGCTTGTCTGAGGGTCTGAGTCTAAGTAAGCCAAGGTGGAGCCTGACACGCATTCCGCGATTCTTGAAGACACCAGCCCTATAGGCCTTAAGAACAAACCCACAGGGTCCAAAGTACCCATATGTGGAATGTAGGGTTTCTATATTAGGAACTATGAATATGATTTTGGGAAGTATCCCCATAACAGTACTTAGGACCCTTTGGGAAACCCTTGCCTCAAACCCTGCCTACCCCCGAACCTTCACCCTAGAGCCCAACCTATAAGCCTAACCGAAACCTTCTCGCACCCTCACCAACAGCCTTTAAAAAGCTCTCGTAACCCTTATAAGGGGCCCTCGCTCTCCCAACGACCCTAAACCCTAAGTCTTGAGACCCAACCTTGCCAAAACAACTTCCGTTAGGGATTAAGGTTTTGGGGTTGAGGGTTCAGGGTTTCGGCTATACCTTTTAAAAACTTGTACACGGACATGAAGCCCTGAAAAGGAAGGTTTCACCGGGTCCCGGTCGGGATTTAGTTTCGTCCGCTTGGCTGAGGTGTCCCGGCTGTGCAATGACAGCCAGGCCGAGGCGACTGCCTACGCGGATCTCGGGCATCGATGTCGCGAGAAGGGGACGCCTTGGCAGCTTTTGTTTGAAAGTTTAGGGTTAGAGTTTAGAATTTCAGGGTTTAGTTGGGGTTTAGTATGAAGTTCCGTGTGGAAGAAGTTCCGTTAACGTTAAGAGATGATGGCGCCCGTAAGGGTTCCTATAATCAAGGGTTTAGTTTTTTGTTGAGGGTTCGTTTAAGGGATTTGGTGCTTGGGGTTTGGGCGCAGCTGTTCATGGTCGGCTTAGGAACATTGAGTAGTGCGCGGGCTTCCCCTTTTAAGTGTTTGTTATCAGGGTTCAAGACTGCAGGACAATACCAGGATCAAGGATTCAGGGCTTCTGGTTTGTTCAGGTCCAAGTCGCCCGACAGCCACAAACTTTGGCCCTGATTAGACCTTAACAAGCCTTGCTGCCCAAACCCGAAACTGAAGCTCAACCCTCAAAAGTCTCATCTCTAGAATATATATATATATATATATATATATATATATATATATATATAAGCTAATGCCGCTAGGGGGGCTGCAAGATCTTGAGCTTCGTAATTTCAGTGACCCGTACGACCGATCGGCAAACCTGGCCGAAATGGAAGGAGAGCTCAAAGTCGCAGCACGTGTATTTGCGATACAGGTCATCCACCAGCGTGCAGTCACATCTCGTCAAAAGAAGAAGGTGCGTCAAGAGTTTATTCCATACTGGCCCCATCCGAAGATGCTCGATTCGGAGCGAGCGCTGTTGATGTACCGAAGTCATACGTCAAGCGCCATTCCAAGTCGCCACTACATATGCCAGAGCAAGTGGACATCAAGAAATGGGCACCGTCTTTCAGCTGTGACAAGAAACCCTAAACCCTAAACCCTAAACCCAAGACGAGGAGAATTTGGTGCTCAGGCGCAGGGGTTGAGGATCCTTGGGCTTCGGGATTTATACAACCTTGAACTACCAAAACCTGCATTTTAAAGATCAAGGCAAACTCTATGTGACGGTGTATAGTAAGAACCTACAACAACATTTGGTTATAGTAGTTTAAGGATAGGGTCTAGAGCTGATGGCTTTCCAGAGTAGGATCGGAGGTTGCTAGAAAGACACGAAAAAATACTTACCAATTCTAGTTCTGAGGGCTCCTTAAGCCCTAATCCCTAAACCCAGAGGACCAAGAGCGAGTTCAAACTCTGAATAACAAGTTTTGGTATACAGTAGATGCCAGAAAGTTGGAATTTGATTATCCTAAACCCTTTATGGTAAGTTATAGGGTATCCTACCTTGAAGCCATATTCCAACTTTCTGGAGTTCCCTGTATCAGGGTTCAGGGCTTGCTCCAGGTCTAAGTCCGACAGCGACAACTTTGTCATAGCTAGGGTTTAGGGTTTTGGGTTTAGGGGTTTAGGGCTTAGGGTTCAGGGTTTAGCGTTCAGAGTGTTTAACATTTTGAATTTTTATGGGTACTCAAACCCAATAAGGAATGAACTAGATAAACTTTGGCCCTAAGCAATGCAGCTTAATTCAACGTAATTCAGCCAAAAGACCGAAACGCACCCCTCAAGCTCTGAAATCTACTGGAAGTCTGGTCATTCTAAGAGGCGCTGCAGGGGGATCTCTAGCGCGACCTGAAAATGATTCGGTACTGCTGATTTCAGGAAGTATATTCCCCCTTAATTACCGCCCCTAAGGTCCCTTATGAGAGTTGGAAGTCCTGCATTGATATGCCCTCGGATGCACAATGACGAATTCAGCTGAGGAATCTCGTGGCCGCGCAAGACCTCATGCGGAGGCGCCCTGCGACAATCCCCAAGACGAAGAAACAGTCACATAAGTCCATAGACCATCATAGACCCACAGCCCTAAACCCGACAATCCTAAACACAAACCCCTACTGGTATCCACTACTCACCCAGCGGAAAACCGAATTGGCCAAAGGGTCCTAGGCACAAATTAGTGCGACAAGGGGGGTTTCCACGTGTTTCAGTTCGGCTATGTAGCGTAGATTCCTTTAAGGGTGCCTCTAAGCCTTTCCGGGTAGCATATGGATTCCGCTGAGGGTCTAGCTGCCCATGTTCCACACATTTGCACCCTAAGTGTAACTATACTACACAGGACCCAGGAACTGCTTCCAGGCCGAAATATCTATACATATATATATATACACAGATGAATATATATATATATATATATATATATATATATGTATATATATATATATATATGTATATATATATATATACAGATGAACATATATATATATATATGTATATATATATATATATATATATACATGGACCCTACAAGCCTTACCCCCCCATCGACCTCCCGAGCTTCAAACAAACCGAGCCAACAGAGTTCATAAAGGATCAAGCAGTAGAGCAGTAGAACCAGAAGGGCTTGACAGTAGCGCGGATTTCTTCGCATCAATACAAGCTATAGGTGGTTTACCAGTGTGTATGAGGGTTTCAAGAGAGTCCGTACATACTACCATCAGGCAGTTGGGCCCCGGAACACAGATATCATTCCATAATGGTAACTCACATGAAACAGCACCTTATGATACGTTATGTATATAGGCTATACCTGCACAAAAAACGGCGGTTCAACCACACACACACACACACACACACAGACATGTTCAACCTTTGTACCGTGAACTAATCCTACAGCACCCATACGGAAACCCTTTTATAAACCTTAAAACCCCAGAGCCCCTTACTCAAGCCTGAAGATCCTCTGTCTGAGCTTCCCCGAAGGGTCCAAGTATCATTATGCTATATACTTATAGGGCATTGTTTTTTTTTGGGAGGGTCTATCTATATACCATAAGGATACTTGGACCCTTTGGGTCAACGAGTTGCGGCAGTTGGCCTCTCAAACCAATCCAGATGGTGATGAAGGGCTGGAGTATGATGGCCCAATTGGGGATGCGCGTGCTAAACTATCAGTGCTACGTCGACTCTTTGCTGGTGGTTTACTTACCAACGAGCGGACTGCGAGACACAAACGACAAACGGGGGCAAAACTTTGCGACTGTGGTGCTGAACAAACCGTTTTGCATGTCTCCTGGGAATGCCCTCTTTATGCGAACGACAGAATGCTTTTCACAGCGATGTTGACCGAGGATGTTGAAGCACTTCCTGTTTGTACCAAGTATGCTGGCATCATTCCCATGGCGTGTACTTTGACAAGCGCACAAACTGTTGCACTTCATCGTATGCTGGTCATCATCTGGCAGAAGCACATCAAGTCTTTTCATGAGGGGGAGCGTGCACATCAGGAATCATTGCGTATTCAGGAACCAGTAACGGATGAGAACCCTGTTGGTGCTGGTGAGTATACTGAGAATGGACATCTTCTCGCACCCAGAGTTGGCACCCCGGGCGTTTACTGCAGGAAGTGTGGAAAATTTGTTGCACGTATGAAACACATCAGGCTGAAGATTACATCGCAACCATGTGCACACAGAGACGCGCCGCCAGAACGCTGGGTTTCGGGTGAGGGGTGGAGTCAAGCCTCTGCAAGACTGGATGCTCTTGAATATGACCTGCACAACAAGTACAACAAGGGGGGACATTCGCTTACGTGGAACAGAAGAGTGGGGAAAGTCGCAGGGAAGGATGACGAGGGGCTCATCACATGTGTTCTGTGCTTCCGGCAGTGGCGATGGAAAGATCGAGTATCCAATTTGCCGCGAACTATCTGCAATGGTCCTCCTTTCAGACCGCGCTACCGTATTAAGAGGAAAACTGCCCCGCGGCTTTTGGAGCGACGAGATGACAGTGATGTTCGTGTTGCCGATGCTCGTGATGCTGATCCCCTTCCAAGACACGGTGTTGGTTGATTTGGTTGGTATTTTGAGCTGGGGGTCGTGTGCCCCGCATGCTCAGGCAAACACCAACTACTTGGACCCTTTGCTTACCTTTGGTTAGTAGGGAATGAAGGAATGGGTACTATTATACTATATATTACTATCATTCCTTCATTCCCTACTAACCAAAGGTAAGTTTGGGTCTTATTTGGGGTTTAGGGCTCCAGGAGGGACTCGAGGCTGGGGGGTGTAGGGTTTGGCGCGAGGGTTTTGCATTCGTGGTGGTCATGATTTCATCGTATACCAACCCTAAGGGTCCAAGTAGTCCATTTTTATGGTTTTTGGTACCTAAAAAGGCCTTAAAGTCCTATAATAGGGAGTACTTGGGCCCTCTGGGCAATATATCGACGTGGTGGTCACGATTTCACTGTATAGCAATATCTCGACGTACCAAGTCATGAGCAGTTGTGTTAGTCCTGAACTATAGAGTATCTAGAGCGAAGAAAAGTGCTGACATGGAGGTGCCTAAAGAAGAGGCAATTCCAGGACTTCCGCTTCTTCGACAATGCCGCTTGACCACCTTTTCTCATGGTTTAGTAAGTTTTCGGTGTTTTTCGGTTTGCGGGGTTCAGTATTTTGGATGCCGGGTCGATCCAGGGTGTTTGGATGCCGGGTCGATCCAGGGTGTTCGCCTCACGGTTTAAGCTTAGGGTGTTATACTTCAAGGCCCAGAGACCGAGTCAGTACGTCATGAGTCAGGGGTTTCTTCCCCCACAGGTAGAGTGCTCTTGGTTTAGAGGGTTGTAGCGTTTCGGGTTTGTGGTAGGACCCAGAGGGACCAAGTGGCCGAACATTACAACGGGGTTTAGTTCCCTGAGAGGTGATTTTTTTCCCAAGGCTCTTGGTGACTTCTTTCGCGATTCCAAATCCCTAAAACACAGCTGACAACAGCCTAAGCACCACTGAAACCCCAAAACAGAAAAGCTTTTAGACCGGAGAGAGAGCGCCAAACCCTAAAACCCCAACCCCTGAACCCAAAAAGTTGAAACTCACAGGTTTTGGAACTGGAGCTATTTGGTTCTGAGTCCTAGAACTTAAACCCTAAACCCCTGAACCCCTAAACCCCTGAACCCCTAAAACCCTGAACCCCTGAACCCCTGAACCCCTGAACCCCTAAACCCCTAAACCCCTGAAGCCCTAAACCCCTAAACCCCTAAACCCTAAACCCCTAAACCCCTGAACCCCTAAACCCTAATCCCTGAAACCCTAAACCCCTAAACCCCTGAAACCCCTAAACCCCTAAACCCTAAACCCCCAAACCCCTGAAATTCCGAACCCTAAACCCTAAACCCGAGACCCTAGAGATCCCTTTAAAGGGACCCTATAGATCCCTTAAACCCTGAACTCCTAAACCCCTGAAACCTCTAAGCCCCGAAGCGCCCAGGTGTTACAGCTGTAAGCTCCTAGACTCTAAACTCTTAGCCCTAAACCCTAAACCTTGACCTTAAACCCCAAAACCCCTAAACTTCTAAACTTCTGAACTTCTGAACCCTTTAAGGATCCCTTTAAGGATCCCTTTAAGGATCCCTTTAAGGAACCCCGAAGACTCAGGTGTTAGAGCTGAAGCTCTGCCAGAGGGAGAAGCGCTGTGCAGAGCTCTGTGAGATTGCGCAGCGGGAGATCGTCAAGCACAAGGAGGGACCCAGGAGGGACGAAAGGGTTCATTTGAAGGGTTGTTTTAGGGTGTATTGCACGGACCTATAAGGGGAGATCGTCAAGCACCAGGAGGGACGAAAGGGTTCATTTGCAGGATTCATTGATTCGTAAGGAGGGGCGAAAGGGATCATCTACCGTTCTTTTAGGGTGTCTTGCACGGATCAAGGAGGGGCGAAAGGGTTCATTTAATCTAAAGGGTTCTCTTAGCGTGTTTTGACGAAAGGGATCATTTGAAGGATTCGTTTAGGGTGTTTTGCACGGATCAAGGAGGGACGAAAGGGTTCATTTACAGGATTCGTTGAGGGTGTTTTGCACGGACCTACGAGGGGGGATTTTGTAAGGAGGGACGAAAGGGTTCATTTAAAGGGTTCTTTTAAGTAGGGTGTCTTGCACGGATCTATAAGGGGGATTCCTGAAAGGGGTCTACAAGGGATACTGTAAAGGATACTAGAGGGGGTTAGGGTTTAAGGCTCAGGGTTTACGACTTGCGGGTCTTGGGCTTGTGGTTTGGGACTTAGCCTTTAGTGCTCAGGGCTTTGGGTTTCCGGCTTTGGATCTAGGGGCGAAGGTTTAGGGTAAAGGGTTTAGAGCTTAGACTTAGGGTTTAGACTTCAGACTTGTTTCATGATTGTGATGATGATGATGCTCATGATTCTGATGAAGCATTGGATGACCATGCTGACATTTACGAGTAGTGCTGGGAGGAGCTGGTGCCATTTTGAAGCAACCATGGACATTCCCCTGAGTGCAAATCTCACAACAGTTCGCACTGGCGGTTGCCCTCGCCTGGTTATTGTTGTCGGCGTCGTTGCCATGGTAGTTGGCGATTCTGTGTTCGCCGCTGCTTTGGCCACGTCTGTTGCACCCGATGTTAGAATAGAGACAAATCAAGATTGTTCCTGAGCGCCTTAGGGCTTCTTATTGTTGTTTCTATGCTATAAAGGAGCCCTTCAAATATCCATTCTAGTTATAAGGCCCCTGCGCTGCTGTTGTGCTTGTTGCTGTTGTCATCATCGTCGTCGTCGGTTTCGTCGACGTCTTCTGCCTCCTCGACCTTGTCGTCGTTCTTTGACTCTGCCTTGTCCGGCTTTGCTTTTGAGAATGATGTGTCCTCTTTCTATTTATACCGTGTTGACGGTTGAGGCTAGACGTAGAGGGTTTGGCACCACGAGCTGGCTGACTTTCTCAGAGAGTGCAAGTATCAAGCAGCATGGCTTTAGACCCCCGACTTGTGCGAGACGCACGTCACTCGGGCTCAAGCGCGGGCACTTTGGTTGGGAGACCAATGTCTCGTTCTTGCGAGCGAGATGCTTTGATGTTGGGTGAGATTGCTCGGCGGCTTCAGGTGACAGAATGGTTATGCCAACCATGGGGAAATTTGAGCAAGAAGGAGGATTTGCTTTACAATTTTTGGCGAAGTCCGTCAAGATCAAAACCGTTTTTCGACAAGTCTACCATCCATGACTTCGTGAGAGAGTCGTTCCGGTGTCGAGCGCATGCCGTGGTATCAGCACGAGTTGGCAGGCATGGCTTCTTGCCTCCTAGCCTCCCCGTGGGGCCTTTTTCCCTTTTTGTAGTCCTAGGTTTCTTATGAAGTTACCCAATACCAAAAGGGGAGCCCTTTTTATTCCTAGGCTGCTTGGCATCCTAGCCTCAGGGCCCAGTCCCGACCGAGATCCTCCCTTGCCGGGTTTAGGGTTATACGAAAAAGCTACGGTTACAGAACTCGAAACATCGGCGCTGGGGTAAAGAGTATTTACACTGGCTAGTGATGCCAAATTTTCAACCTTGTGATGTTTCAATTCTGAATGATGCGGCCCTTCTAATCTAAAACCCTTTGCCAACCCCACGACCGCCAGCAAAGCCTATGCTTACGGTTTCGGAACTTTGGCGCTTTAATTCTTTCCTTTTGCTCATATATGTATGTATGTATACATATATATATATATACATATATATATGCACATATTTATGTATTTGTTTATATTTGTATGTATTTGTATATATATATATATATATACACATGTACATATATATATATATATGCAAGGATCCTGAAAACTCGTTGCGGTACACGCTGATCCTGGCGAAGATCGCCAAGGCTGTCCTGGACAAATGTTTAGGGCTTAGGGGTTTAGGGTTTATGGCTAGGGTTCAGGGTTTAGGGTTAGGGTTTATGGCTTAGCGTTTAGGGTTTAGGGCTTAGGGTTAAGGGTTTATGACCGAGCACTTGGGCTTTAGTGTTTATAAGGGCACAGCTTTAGGGTATAGGCTTTATAGGGCCGAGGGGTTTAAAAGGTTGAGGGTGCTTTAAGGTTTAGATTTCACGGCATGGGTTCTGCTATAGCCTTAAAATGAAATCCGTTTCGGACTTAATTAGGAACTAAGTACCTTTACTTGTTAGCTTTATTGGAGTTCTTGTATAGGGCCTCACACTCCAAAATCGGTTCGAAGTTCCATGGTGACAAAATGAAGGTCGAAGTTCCATGGTGACAACATGAAGGTTTTACGAGGCTTCCTTAGGCATGCTAAAGATTGCTAAAGGGCTGTAGAGTATTTGATCACGTTATTGCATTTGGTGCTTCTGAGAACAAAGCTACACTGTTTTAGGTGATTACACACCTCGGATCCTGTTGTTTGAGAGCTTTGTACAAGCCCAAGGGTCCAAGTACCTAATAATCAGATGCCTTCAAAAACCCAAGTACCTAATTCTTAAGGCCCATATAGTGGAACCCTCATAGCAACCCTTTTAACGGAACCTTATAAAAGCCTTTAGCGGAACCCTAATTACTGTTTTTTTGGACCCTTTGGGATAAGGATACTTGGTCTGAAACCGAAGGTCTGCTCAGCTATCGAATTCACCAACTGTTCATGGCCTAGGGTACCGTCATGTCCCCAGAGCCTCCAAAACCCTTTAATTAAGGAATATACCTTAAAGTATAGTAGGATCCATAATATGATTTAAGGTATATTCCTTAATTAAGGGGTTTTGGAGGCTCTGGGTCCTTGAAAGTCTAGACGCCTCGCCTCAGGCCAAAGCCCGCCAAGCCCCAAACCCCAACACACTCAAAGCCCCAAAAGCAATCCTAAGTCACAGTAAAGTCTGATGTAGACGCGTCGCCTCTGGCCAAAGCCAGACAAGCCCCAAACCCCAAAGCACTCAAAGTTTCAATATTTTAAGCAATCCTAATCCTAAGTCACAGTTTAGATGACCCGAGACCTACGCCCTGAACCGGTCTGTGTGGGAAATACTAGATTTAGAGATTGAGGGTTTCGGACTTGGTTTGCCGGCTAGGAGAGAAATTATGGTTTAGGATGGGTGCGTGAAGACACATGCTGTGCGCGGGATTGAAGAGGGTTTCTGTAGTTTAAGAATTAGGGTTGTAGGGTTTGGGGTGCTCTGAACTGAACATAAGCCCTGAACCCTGAGCTCTAAGCCCTAACCCCTACCTTGAGCTCTCATCTCTACACCACATTGCCTTAGGCTGGATGGGAGCGGCGGGAGATGGGCCACGAGGACAGTGGGACGCGTAAAGATAAACCCGTACTAGCCTACATTATACAAACCATATATCTGTATATGTCTAAATATACATATATATATATATACATATATATATATATGTATGTATATATATATATATACATATATATATGTATATAATATATAGTATATAGTTATATATATATATATATATATGTATAACCTTACCCGCTGTTGGTCTTGTGTTCGGGTTGATGGCATGGTCTGTGAGCTTAAGGCTTAAGGCCCTCAGGGATAGTGGAAGCAGCAAGCAGTACAGCAAAACAGGCCAAACAGCTTTGAATGATTCAGGCAAGGGTTTGGGTGCCCCGAATATAGCAAAAAGTTCGAAATAACCCCATTACATGTATTTGGGCCATGGTAAATGCTCCAACGCTGCGATGGCGTTTCAGGCTTTGGGGGAAAAGAGTTTTAGGTTCAGGGTTTAAGCTTTGACATTTAAGATTTTTAGGGTGTCAGCAGGGTTTACGGGTGCACCTCAGGGCGTATTGAATCATGTTGCTTTATGTTATGCTACTGTCTGATGTTGACGGGTTTCTCTCCTTGTGCAGCCATACCCTCTGGCTCTAAGGATTCACATTTTAAGGCGTTTGGGCCAAAAGACGATATTACACCAGGCTTTTGAGCCATTTCGAGCCTTAGGGATACAGCTGAAACCGTCAGCCCTCTGAAACCCCAGACCTTTGGGAGGATGCCTGGAGAGCGCTCACATCCGCAAAAGGCCATTTGGCGCACAGAGACCAGGATTCAGGTTTCCGGTGTAATTCGAAGGGCTTGGTGCTAGGCAGGGCTGCGTGTGAATTGGCTTTCTATACCTGTGTTTGGAAGTAAGTATATATGTTTTTCCGAAATTGCATGCATTTTTGAAGAGTATGAGGGTAGAATGTAGCTAGAGCCGAGTATGGAGGTCTGTCTGTGTTCTACGGCGATGCGTGTGTGGAGGTGTCTACAGATTCTACATGCCGTTCTATCGGGTTGGAAAGCCTATAAGACCTGATAAAACCGTGCAAACCCTGTAAGAGCATCCAAAATCACGCAAGGCGCCGTGACGCCCTGTAAGATCGTACAAACCCTATACAAGACCTTCCAACGCCCCTAAACCCTAAACCGTGGCAAAAGCCATTGGGCCTATAAACGCCTATGAAACCCCCGGCCTTCTTTAACTAGACCCTTACCAAACACCCCATGAAGCCTGTAGGACGCTATTCCTACACCCCAAACCCATAAAACCCTACGCGAATTGCGAGGTTTCTCTGAGAAGTGCGCTGTGCACGCCTCGGATGTTCAGTTCAGTTCTCTAATTTATAAGGACTATCTAAGGACTCAGAAACGTTGAGCTTTTCCTGAACCCCCCAAACCTGCCCTTTTTGGGGTTCCTTATTGTGGTTTCTTCGTAACAGTGCCTCAAAATGTCGGCTTTCGTGGGTTATTGTCGGGCCCAACGACCAGACTCTGCATAAGGCTTTGGGGATAGGGTTTAAGGAAGTTGAAATTTCCAAGGTTGTTTTCGGTGCATTTGTAGGGTGTTTTTGCGCTACAGGCTTGAGAAGGTTTTGGATAAAGGGTCTGGGGTTTGGGTTTGGGTTCAATTTGCGTGTTTGGTTTGAGGTTTGCAGGTTAAAGGGTCTGGGCACTGTTGCGTAGGGTTTCGGTTTCGGTTTTCGCATGTAGGCGTTCGGTTGCAGGATGCTGGGTTTGCAGGAGTGAGGGTTGGATGTTTTTTTTTTCAGGATTGACGGTTTGAGGCAGGTTTTGGAATGCTTGCTGCTGGGAGTGTCATGAGGTGCCATGGGCCTTGGTGGTTCTCTGTTCGGGTTCAAGGTATGTTCGGGCTTTGGGGTTTAGGAGTAGCATAGTTCCGGTTCAGTGGCTTTAGGGTGATAGGGGTTGGGGGTTTCTGACCTGTTCACCATGTGTAGATATAACATATAGCCGAATTCAGTGTTGCCCAAGTCCTCAACTCCTCCACCCTGAACCTCTGAGCCCCATATGCCAGAAGCCCTGAACCCTGTAAACCCTAAAAAAGCCGCAAATTCGATGAAACCTTGAAGCGCCAAGTCAAGTCTTAAACTGTGGAAACCCTGAAATCCTGTAAACCCTAAACCCTAAACCCTAAACCCTAAACCCTAAACCCTAAACCTGAAGCCCCAAGCCTCAGACCCCACAAGCCCTGCGCTCTAGCAGCCCTAAACCCTGCTTAGAGGTTCATCGGACTTAGAAACTAGGACCTAGAGTAGCCCCTTATTCCCTTTTTTAGGATTCAGGTTCCCTTATAAGCCCCTTTAAACCAAAAGGGGCACCCTTTCTATTCCTAGGTTACTCTTGGGTCTAGGAAAGTAATTACAGGTATAAGTTCCTTCGCTAAGATCCTGTAAGCTTAGTTACCTATTTCACAAGCCTAGTTACCAAGTCCCATGAACCTCGCACCTTACACACCAACCCCTTAAAGGGAACCCTGTGATAGCCCTATCATACCCTGGAAAGGGGCGAGAAACCCTAGCTACATGAACCTTTAACTGTAAACCCAAGGGCCCAAGCCGCTCCAGTGCAAGAGCACCCAACAGCCAGTTCAGGTGCAATCACCTGTGGTTAGGGTTTAGGTTTCGGGTTTTGGGTTTAGGCCTCATATGGCTACGGGTTTAGGCTTCAAGGTTTAGGGTTTATCGTTTAGGGTTTAGGTTTCAGGGTTTAGGGTCGAGGATATACATCATGATAGGCCGACGGGCAGGCTCCTGTGCCCCGGAGCCATCCGTTGGGCAGGTGCACAACTTCTTTACCCAGTGTAGTAGACCTAGCCCAAACAGCGCTCAAATGAGACCCGTAAGTGTTCAACCCAGGTGCCCAGTTCTTGGGCTGTCGTGTACACATATGCAAAAACGCTTATGAAGCTCTATATGAACTTGTTACGGTAATCCATGGAATAGCAACCAAGAGAGCAACACAAGATCTCTGTCTTCTCCGCTTCTTGGAAGTGAGGGACTGCACCTTTCAGCCCCGCAGCGGCCACCCGTGACTTGGCGGCGCAATGCCACACAAAGGAGTCGGATTCAGGTTCCGATATTGATGAAATCCCGAAGCAGTTGAGTCTGACTGCTGTTCGCGCTGAGTGCTTGCCATGTGGCATCATCCACCATGGCATATGCCGCATCGAGCGGATCCGCATCCACAACATGGGCTGGAACCCGCCTGATCACCGGAACCTGGGGCAGACGGCGGCTCGAAACCTGGCCGCAAGCCGCCATCCAAGGGCCAGCGTCGGCGCAATGCGACTCAGGTGCAGCAGCAGGAGTGTTTGCAAGCACAGCGACAGCGCCGGAGCCACCAGGTTTTCAACCGTGAGCCTGACTCCCGGTAAGTGTGAATATAAATATCCCATGCCCTACTCTGCGCCGCAAGACTACTTAAGCCAGTGAGCATATTTCAAGCAAATATATAGTTGGCCACTGTCTCTAGACCCAATATATAAGATAAACCTTCACATAAGTATGCGTAGAATATAAGCGCTAGCACAGCAAGCAATTCAATGGCTGTCCTAGCTTGCTTATCTGCTCTTTTGGTGTGGGCTGCGGTTGGGATTCGAGAGAACGGAATGTCGGACCTCTGCCGCTCCAGCAGATCCACACATGTTCAGAGGTCCCGGTAGACCCAAGGCCTTGAACCCAGCAACTTGAAACCCCAAACCCTGGTTTGGGGTTTAGGGTTTAGGGTTTTAGGGTTTAGGGTTTTAGGGTTTAGGGTTTAGGGGTTTAGGGTTTAGGGGTTTAGGGTTCGGTTTAGGGTTGGCGCTTATAGGGTTGAGGTCTCTTACATGGTAGACCCCAAACTGTCTTCCGCATCGGTACGCAGCACCTGACCGAACTGCGAGTTAACCCTAAACGCCACCGCTGAAGCTCTAAAGTAAATGCAACAAAGAACACAAACTGATTCAGAAAATGCCTCATAGAAACCCTAAACCCCTAAACCCCTATAAACCCTAAGCCTTAAAGCCGCTAGGAAACCCCAAGGTTGGTGAGCAGAGCCGGACGCACGCGAAGCTTGCGGAGTTCGCGGATGCGGTGCTCAGGAGAGAGGAGGAGGCGAGGGGCGGCTCGGGGCTCTCCGGGCTTGGGGTTTAGGGTTTAAGGTTTAGGGTTTAAGGTTTAGGGTTTAGGGTTTAAGGTTTAGGGTTTAGGGGGTTACAGGGTTTAGGGTTTAGGGTTTAGGGTTTAAGGTTTAGGGTTTAGGGTTTAGGGTTTAAGGTTTAGGGTTTAGGGGGTTACAGGGTTTAGGGTTTATGTAGGGTTTAGGGTTTAAGGTTTAGGGTTTAGGGTTTAGGGTTTAAGGTTTAGGGTTTAGGGGGTTACAGGGTTTAGGGTTTATGTAGGGTTTAGGGTTTAAGGTTTAGGGTTTAGGGTTTAAGGTTTAGGGTTTAGGGGGTTACAGGGTTTAGGGTTTATGTAGGGTTTAGGGTTAAAGCTTTAGGGTTTATGCAGGGTTTAGGGTTTATATAGGGTTTAGGGTTTAGGTTCTTCTAAGTAGCTGAATGGATACACTATACAGGGTTTAGGGGTTTAGGCCTCCTGGCTTGGGGTTTAGGATTTAGCTGTAGGGTGGGTATAGGGGGGGGGGCTTCTTGCTTGGGGTTTAGGTTCTTTTCGATATAGTTTCTGACGGTTTGGGGCTCAGGGTTCATGGCTTTGGACAAGTTGCAATAGTCTGTGAAAGCATCGGTGTAGTTGGTGATGAGGCAATACATTTCGTCATTGAGAGTTTTGGGGCTGGAGGGGTTCAGTTTTGGGCTTGAGATTTCGGACTTGCATGGTGAGGGCTCGCCTGCGCCATATGAGGAAAAGCAGGAGCTTACTTTACCGGCATTCCGGCCACAAGATCAGTTCCCGGAAGTTGTTCGCGTGCTGGGGTACTTCAAGTCCTTTGTGGATTTCCGGTAATTAGGGAGGGAAGGATCGGGACGTTTTGCAGTGCTTCACTCGAGCAGGATTCCGTTTTGACGGACAGCAAATCTTGTCGGGGTTCCTGCACTGCTAACCCGGGTTGGTAGGCATCTTTTTTGAATATAGATTCTACTACCTTGGCGTTTATATTCAGAGGACGGCCACTTATTGGCTGAAACTCGCATTGGCTCTGCTTCTGCTTAGAAGGAATAATGTGGAGAACCCCGAGGGCTCAGACACGGCATGCAGTCCCATCAAATGTACACTGTACACAACATAACATAGCCAAAACCGATGTTCCGATCTTTGAAAGCGCTTAGACTAAACTTCACAACAGCCCTAAACCCTAAACCTAAACCCTAAAGCCCTAAACCCTAAACCCTAAACCCCTAAACCCTAAACCCTAAACCCTAAACCCCTAAACCCTAAACCCTAAACCCCTAAACCCCTAAACCCTAAACCCCTAAACCCCTAAACCCTAAACCCTAAACTTCACAAAAGCCCCATTCTTCCCCTTGGACGAGACCCGGGAAAAACCCAGGGAAACCTTGCAGCAGCCTGAGCCCCAGAACTCTACTTGGAGGTTCATGGGTAGTTTTAAGGGTTCCTTTAAGGGCCCCTTTAAAGGGAGTCCATAGGGATTCTATAGGGGTATAGGATTTAGGGTTTACTTGGAGGTTCATGGGTAGTTATAAGTGGGGTTATAAGTGGGATAACTAAAGATATAAGCCATATCAGGGGACTTATAACCCTACAGTACTTATAGCTACCCATGAACCTCCAAGTAAACCCTAAATCCTATACCCCTATAGAATCCCTATAGACTCCCTTTAAAGGGGCCCTTAAAGGAACCCTTAAAACTACCCATGAACCTCCAAGTATACCATCCTCAAGCCTTAACTCTCAGCCTTTAACCTGCAGCCCTAAGCCATACAACTGAAACCCTGAAGCCTTAAACATCGGGTAGGAACCTTTAAAGGAACCCTTGTAGAGCCTCATATAGAACCCGTACAACCCTTATGGGACTTATGGGAGCCAAAGAAATCCTAAGCCCTTTTAGAGGCTTCGGGCCTCTCGCCGGCCGGACCACAGGTCGCTGGGTGTGGGGTTGTAGGGTGTAGGGTTGCTTTAAGGGTTTAGGTGTATAGGGTTCAGGGTTTTTTGGTGTAGGGTTCCATTAAGGGTTTAGTGTTTATGGTTTAGGATTTAGGGTTTGGGGTTTAGGGCGTAGGGTTGCTTCAAGGGGTCCTCTAATTTAAGGGTTCTGGCAGGGCTCCTCTACAGGTTCGGCAGGGGTTTAGGGTGTAGGGTTCCTTTAGTAAAATTTAGGGGGTTCTGCAGAGGGTTTAGGGGTAAACGTTCAGGATCTTGTATTAAGGGGGTGGGGGAAGGGGCCTCCGTAAGTTGGGGGTTTGTGATTTTGATGTTCAGGGTTCGCCTAGAGGGTCCAAGTGCCCACATGGTAGTAGGGTTTCAGGTGCAAAACACATGAAGAACATAGTATTTGGGACCTTAAATACTTGCTTCAGCAGGGCTTCATAGTATATAGGGCTTCAAAAGGGGCTTCAAAGCCTTGAGACTCTTAGGTTCAGGGTCGGGAAGGTGTTGCGGCTTCGGGCTCCTGACGTCTTGGGGTTTCAGAGTTATCTTGGCGTGCAAGCGGTTCCTGTTGCCAAAAGACATCGCAGCCACTAACAGGTTACCGATTCCTAAGCAATACACCAATAATCAGTAGCAGGCAGGCAAATGCGTAAGAAAGTCAGGAATGAACAAAAGTTGGAAAGAAGGAAGGAATGACATAGGATAATAGGAAGCAGCTAAGTAAGCAAAGCAGTCAATTTGCTAGCAAATTGCACTTGCAAGTCAACCTTTCAGCCTCTAGAACCCGTATAGAACCCTCTCAACGCTCGATGCACTCCGTTGCCAGTAGCTAGGCCCCTTTGAGGGAATTCAAGCCCTGTCGCCGCTCAAACCTCGAAGCAGTCCTGACCCACAGCCCTACTTACCGAAGCGCCTCGTACCCAAGTTGAACCTTTTGTGCCTGCTAGTTTTATGTAGATCCCTGCCCTAATGCCATAATGCTCCTGGACCCTCGGAGTGAGATCCTAAACCTTAGCCCCCAAAGCCCAAACCCTCGCCCACAAAGCCCCTAAACCTACTAGGAGTCTTAGGGTGGTCAATCAACCCTTCCTTCTAACAAAAGTCAGAAGGCATACCAAACAGGGCGGAGGGCGGGTCTCTTGTTGAGTCTCTCATACCCAGAGGGTTCATATATACGACCATTATGGAATTAGGGCCCAAAAGACCATCTCCATTACGGCTTTTGGGACCTAACTCCATAATAGCAGTGTATATGGACGCTCTTGGATGGCCTGATCATCCACCAACTAGCAGGCTGAGCTGGTTGACTCTCTGGTTGGCAGCGTCCTCGCTGCAACTTTGGCTGTAATGCTGAAGGTGGTTGGTAGACTGCACTGTTTTGTGGTAGCCTGATCTGTGTGGACACCGCTTGCCTTCACGTGTCAATAAACATGTTTCTTGTCCCAACCTTGTTCAGCGTAGATTTATTCAGCTGTATTGTCTGCTGTAAAGTGCTAGATCTAAACCCTATAAACCCTAGAAGCACTAAACTCAATAAACCCTAAGCCTTCTCCGATCTCAGTGGGATGCCTTGAACGTAAAGGCTGCAGGTCCGTGCAAAGAAGCCTCCGGCCAGGGTTCAGACCTTTTTCTTCATCACGCAGCCTCTGCACTTTGCGTTAGGTTTAGGGTTCAAGGTTTCGTATTGGTAGTATTCTGATACCTGAACCTTTATGTTTTCGTTCGCTATTGATGGGGTAAGTGTCCTGCACTTGGGATTAAAAGTTTTAACAGCTTTAGGTTACATGGCGTCAGGAGTTTTCCGGTTGTGGGTTTCGGGTTTGAGGGTCTGTGGGCTCAGGGGTTTGAGGTTTGGATCAGCTTGGTGTGCGGCGAGCCCGGATTTCAGGTTTCAGCTCAGGCAACCCCTTCTCCCTCAAGCGGGAGCAAGTCAGTGCAAAGCACTGCGCAGCTAGCTGTGTTACGAACACTTGGAGGATCATGGGACTTATAGTAACTAGGGCTATAAATGAGGTAACTATACTTATGTACTCCAAGTAGGGTACTTATAACCTTCTAGGATGCCCAGTAGTACCCTTATTCCCTTTTTGTAGTCCTAGGTTCCTTATAAAGTTACCCAATACCAAAAAGAGAGGCCGTTTTATTCTTAGGTTACTGGGTATCCTAGTCTTCATTCAGCCAATGGCGAGTCACTGTCCGGAGAGACCGAGAGCTTCCTCTTACAGCCGCCCAGAGGCCCCATAGTAGCTCCTTTTGGTTTAGAGTTTAGGGTTTAGGGTTTAGTTTAGAGTTTAGGGTTTTAGGGTTTAGGGCTCCTTTTGGGGATTACATGATTACCTCATATGATTCTAAATATGAACCCCAGAAAGGAACTATAAAGTGGGCCTGAGGGCGGACGAGTCGTGTGGCAACGCCAACACCTTGAATGGGCCCGGGGCCGCCATGTGCTATGAGGTCACAATTTCAAACGTGTGCGTGGTTGGGCTGTCTCAAAGTTCATATCGTAAGATTTTCAGAACATTAGGACAGTAGACTGCGTGACTGATATTTAATTGCCGACATGAGACCGCATGGAAATGATCCTAAACACTTTTAGGTGTCTGAGTGGTTCGGCCGTCTCAGCACTCAGATCCGAGTTGTTTAGGCTTTAGGGTTGGTATTTTTGGGTTAGTGACTTCAGAGTGCAAGATTGGTACTTCGTAGACATATAGAGCATATGGAAATGAACATCCAACGTGGGCTTGACACTGAATTGCAGGTATGCGTGTTTAGGGCCATCTCAATGCTCATATCGTAGGAGTTTAAGCAACATTGGGTCAGTAGGCCGCAGGATTGATAAGCCTCGGAGATGATGGGTTGCTTATTGAAGTTATACAATGTTCACAAGCGTTGGTCCATTGACGCTTCCAACTGAGGCAATGCGGCTGGGCGAGGATCCAAGCGAAGAGGACAGGATTATTTTGTTCACGGGCTGGTTTTGAGGTCCCTAAAACGATGCATCGGAACATTACCCCTGCTTGCACCCACAAGCAAGGAGCTGTATGGTGAGACTCACTCTCAACCTGAAGCCAAAACAAAGGTAACCCGCCGAAATCGAGCAGTCGACATTCAGGTTTTCTACACACCCTCAAACCCAGACTTGCCAACCCTACATGCAGGCCCGAAGACCCCCCCAAGTCTTCCCTGAGGATCCCTGTGCCCGAAGGGGCAGCTGTCTGAATTAGGGTCCTTGTTACAGTCATTTGTATCAGACTGTCGCCTTCTTTTGGGTTCCTACAGAGGGACCCTTGTTTAGACAGTTACCCAGCCAGAATGGCGTGAGGCAAAACCAAACCCCTTTCGGGGTACAACAGTCAGTATGTTGGAGCAAAAAGCGTAATTAAGCACAAAAAAGCTTCAAGACCCAACATCTTCAGCTGCTTCCTTCAAGCTTCAGCTACTTCCTTCGACCCTAAACCCTAAACCCAAATCCCTCAAGTCTCATCCAGCCTTTCGTCAGGCCTTTCGACAAGCGCACGAGCGGCTTCCGCGCATTTTCGAGCTCTTGGCAACCTTTCGAGGCATCGCGGTGGTTGCAGAGCTTTCCTGGAGGCTCCAGATTAATTTGTGTATGCATATGTAGACTATACTATAATATAGTTGTTACATGTGTATGTGTATATATATATATATACTTTACATTTTTATTTGTTTCTATTTACGTATCTACGTGTATATATATATATATATATGGTTGAATACTGGCTTTGTAAGGTTTCTGGGGACGTTTCAACAAGTTTCATACGCTTGGTGCAGGGTTCTGAGAGGCAGCTATTAGGGATTAGTGGAGTCTGTGAAGTCTATGGCTCTATGAGCCTTGTTCCTCGGTGGTAAGATAGGGACCTGAGTAAGAAACCTTGGGCCCTTATCAGGGTTGTTTGTGGATCCTGCTATTTTGGGGGGTACAGTGCCAGGGTTTTTGAATCAGGTTCCCACATTGTGTGAGTCATGTAAGAGTGGACCAATATCCCTTGCAGTATGAATGCGCGGGTACTGTCGAAGGCAACCCACGCGAAATTTTAGGGGTATTGTCCTCTTTCTAGTTTCAGGTTTGGCGGAAGGTGCTGTAACCCCAAACGCTACCTAAACCTGCCAAAACCTACAAAAAAAAGTTAGGGTCCCTGTAAATTCCATATTAGGGTTTATAATACGAACCTACAAAAAAGTAGGGTTTGGCAGGTTAAGGTAAACCCTCACTCGCCTAAACCCGTGGTTCAGTCTCGGCCACATGGGCTCTAAAACTGCAAAGCCTGGAGAGTCAAATACCCTGTAATTCTTGGTGTTCTTCTGGTTGGCTCTTAGGACTTTAACTTTTTGGGTTTCCAATATGAACTATAATAAGGAGGCTAAAAGTTTATAACTATTAGGCCGGCGGGGTTCAGAAGTCAGCCAAGATTCGGTACCAAGCAAGAAGGGTATGGGTTGAGGGCTTTTTGGGGGGACCGAATCACCCTTATAAGTAGGGGCCCTGTACCGAACTATGAATCCTTATGTGGATTTTGTATCTTAGAGCCGTTGTGGTTCATTCCGTCCTTACGGTTTGGAGCTATAGGGGTTGCCCAGATCATTCAAGCTTCATCTGTCCACTCCGTGCCCCAGATACCATACGCGTCCTTTCAATTCGGTCCATCCTTAGCCAAGTTTAAGCATTGTCCTCAGCCACGGGCAGAGGGTCCATGTACCCGTGCAGTACAGTAAATGCCTTGACTCTAACGTTATTCTGTAACCCCTGCAGGGCGCACTATATTGGTACATCCCGAAATCCCTGCCGTCCTAAACCCTGAACCCAACCCCAGTAACCCCTACGTAAACCCTACAAACTATATGGATCCAAGCCCCATCCCTTCAAGGGGACTGAAAACCCTACTACTTGGGCATTTTGCACAGCCCCCAAACCCTAAACCTCTAGACCCTTAAACCGCAAATTTCAACCCCGAAATCCCTAAACCCCAAATAGCAAATCCCTTAAGGGTTCAGTTAAGGGCTCCCTGCAATATTCTGCAGGATTCCTGTACCCTAAGGCTCAAAATGTCCCAAAAGCCTCATATAATTCTACTATATAATATGGTCTGTAGGCCCAAAAGCCGGACAACAACGAGTCCTTAGAGCCTTCCTGAACCCCAAATATCCTAAGGACCTACCGTTCTAAGGACTTATACAAGGAAATCATAATAGGGAACCCTAAAAAGATAGGTTCTTTAGGGCCCAGGTTAGGCTTTTAGAAGGAGTGCTGAGCCCTCTTGGCAGCTCCAGGATGCAGCGCCCGCTTCGAGGAGGGCGTGGCGCGCTCGTCTCAGCGACCTCCAGGGTTTGGGGTTTCGGGGGTTCGTTTTAGGGCTCCTTGTTAAGGGTTCTTTAAGGGTTTCTTGATAGGGTTCCTTTAAGGGTTCCTCTAAGGTTTTTTTGGAGAGTTTCTTTAAGGGTTCCTTTAAAAGCGGTTCCTTTGATTTTTTTTTAGGGGTCTAGGGGTTCAGGGGTTGCTTCTAGGGTTTCGTTAAGTGTTTCTATCCGGGTTATATGGGTTCTATCGGGTTTATGATTACGATGAAGGGACGACTAGGGTCTAGGGTTCATGAGGGCTATATAGTTAATGTTGAGGAAATGTAAGGTTGAAGGTTCCCCCAAATACCCATAACGGGCTCTCCTGTTCCTCACTAAAAGGTAGTTAGGGACTACACTAAAGGCTAGTTGTAGGCTTTAGTTCATCAGTGTTCATCATATTGACATTTCAGTGTGTCCATGGAGCTTATGGCGATTGTACAGGGTCTCTAGGTGCTTATGAGGCTTGATAGGATTTCGTCGGGCAGGTTTTTCCGCCGAAAATTCAACAGACTTAGCGACCCCGACAAGGAAGCTCCGGGTGACGCAGAACATGCGCGTCAATGGCAGACCCAAGTGGCAGAGAGACTTCCGTCTTCCTCGCACACGTGGCACGACCAAGGAACCGAGGCCCAAGCCGGCCAAGACGGAGCAGCAGCTGTCGCAGTCGAGCCTGACCAAGGCGGTCAACAAGATCCTTGAGGCCAAGTGCTGGAGGAAGTGATCTTGCGCTATCACTCGTCTCAAGATACTTTTTCCCCAGTGGCCCTCGTTCTCATCATCGCCCGGCGCATAGCATGCCTCAGACACGGCAGCCGCGGCTGATCACCGAAACGGATAGTACAGGGGCCTGCTTGGAGGATCATGGGACTTAGTAAGTAAGGTTATAAGTACCGTAATTGGAGTTATAAGTATAGTTACCCTATTTATAACCCTAGTTACTAAGTCCCATGATCCTCCAAGTGGCGTGCATTCGCCAGATCCAGAACTGGCAAAAAAATGCTGTGCCCTTCCATGCCCTAAGGCTCCATGTACTTATAGTAGATACTTAGGCCTTATAATACCTACATAGGGACCACCTTAAGGCCTAAGTATCTACTATAAGGGTACATGGAGCCTTTGGGATGCATGCGGCTCCCGGGGCCAAGTTTCGTGGGGCAGCGCCGAAGAGCTCCCCATGGCAGAGCAAGACTTGGGAGGTTCCGAAAATTGGGAGTTACCTTAGGGTTCCTTTAAAGGGATCCTCTAAGGGTTCCTATAAGGGATCTATACGGTTTAGGGTTCAGGAGGGACTTTCTGAAAATTGGGGGTACCTTATTTTGTCGTCCTTACAATAAGGATCCTACTATTTAGGGTATTACGTTAGGGTCCCCTAGTTTCGGAGATTCCCACTTGTCTCAGGGATCTCGAAAGTTTTGAGGTTTTCTTTCAGGGAACGGAGAACCTGAAGAAGCTTAGAGATTCTTACCCTAAGGCTCTAAGGACTCATGTTTTAAGGCTTTTGGGCCTAAAGGCCATATTACATAAGGCTTTTGGGCCATGTTTCAGATCCTACGGCAAAAACTGCGTCTCAGGGTTCCCTCATCTATGAAGTGTTCATCGTACATTTAGTAGCATAAATGCCAGAAGCTCTGGTCCAAGTGTACATGCCCTTGAAAGTAGCAGGACTTTCAACCCAGAACAATCCCCCGATCAGTGGGTCTTATACCTTAGAAGCTGCCCCCACCCTGTAATAGTGGTATAATAGGAATATAATAGGGCCCTAATATAACATTAATACAATCCTTATGGTCACTATTATAGGGTGGGGGCAGCTTCTAACTTATACCCGTAAGGAACCCAGAACCATTCAGAACCTATGAACCCAGAGCAGTGCATTATTCAGAGAGCCCCGAAATGCGCGAACTCAAACTCTAAACCCGGGCCAAAACCCTAAAGCCCAAAACTTTGAAATCCGACACCCCTAACTTCAGACCCAAAACCTCTTGATTGAACAGTCCGTTGAACCTGATTTCAATGGCATAAAGTTTGAAATGCACGTCGGACCCCAGAACTTCACTACCGAATTGTCCCAAAATCTACTGTTGAAGTTGTGGGGCTCTTATCTTAATCCCAAACCCTGAACTCCCAAAAGGGATATGTGGGAAACCTTAACCCTAAGCCCCAAGCTTGAAGAGTAAGGTCTGTGCCAGCCTGGGTATTTCTGCGATGGCTTCCTCAGGCTCATCAGCATGGGCTTCCAATCAGACTTACAAGTTTAGGCTTTCGGTTTCACTGTTGAGGGTTTTAGGGTTCTGGGTTTCGGGTTTCTTTGGCTTATACGGGTTGTTTCTGCTTGTCTTTTGTATAGAAGATGTATTTGGGGGCCTGCTGCAGGCCCTATAGAAACCCAAGAACCCATCATTCCTGAACCTTGTGACACCTTAACAACTAACTAACTCCCGAAACCTAAACTCCCAACAATTAGAGTAGGGTTTTTGAGATTCCTAGTATAAGTACAGTATACTATGCCCCCAAACCCTATTGTAATTACTAAGGGCCCTACACTATAGAATCTTACGATACACCCCTTATAGACGCCCCTTTGAGGAACCCCTTAACCCTTGGTTCCCAAAGCCTAAACTCCTAAAACCTACCTGTGACACCAAACCCTACAAAATAGTAGGTTATGACCCCTTAGTCAGAGGGTCTAGCCCGAAAACCGGTAGGTTTTTGGATCCACAGGTAGACTCACAGAAGCTAGGATGCCCAGTAGTACCCTTATTCCCTTTTTGTAGTCCTAGGTTCCTTATAAAGTTACCCAATACCAAAAAGAGAGGCCTTTTTATTCTTAGGTTACTGGGTATCCTAGCATTTACTGGTTGATTTATAGAGGGCTTGATATTATGATGTAAGGTATATTCCTTAATTAAGGGGTATTTTTCGTTCTCTGGGCCCACAGAAGTCAGCCAAGACTATAGAACCCTACTATACACCCCTCATTTACGCCCTTTTAAGGAACCCCTTAACCCCTGATTCCCAAAGCCTAAACTCCTAAAACCTAAGCCCACAGAAGACCGCAGGCATTGGCACACCTGCCCAATGTGCCAGCTCTACAGGGACCTCTCCAGGCTCGATGCCGAACGCGCTGAACCGAAACCGCCCGAAACCCTAACCTTACGTAAAGAACCCTAAACCCTAAACCCCAAAACCCTAAACCCTAAACCCTAACCTTAAATTAAAGGTTCATGGGACTTAGTAACTAGGAATCAATTATAAGCCCAGTTAATAAAGTTCTTATAACTTCACTTACTAAGTCCCATGAACCTCCAGCTACCCCAACCCTAAACCCCCAAGCCCTATACCCCAAGGCTCCCTAAACAAGTGCTCTTGTGAGGTTAACGCCGTGTGGTGCTTCGGATTTACGGTTTGGGTTAAAGGAAGTCGGATTTGCGGGTTAAAGCACTGCGATCCTACAGAGTGGTGTGTCTGGAAACGAGATCCTCAGCTAGGATCACTGAAGATCCTACTTGGAAGGGCAGGGGACTTAGTAAGTAGTTTATAAGTAGGGTTATAATTGGGGTCTCCATTTAGGGTACATATAACTCTACTTATAACCTACTTACTAAGTCCCCTGCCCTTCCGAGTACGGAGCCCTAAAGGCTTGGAGGCCCCGGAACTGCTGTACCGTCAGGGTCGGAAAAACTGGGAATATTAAGTATTCCCTTGTAGCCCTGCTGTAACTCTACTATGATATCCCCATGGTTTTCGGCTTTAGGTGTTGGGGCATAGAGTTTAAGATTTGGAGTTTGGGTTTCAGGGATTCGAGTTTAGCGTGGAGGATGTAAGCTTCAGAGTCTGATTCCTGGATACCCATGGCCTCTTCACGCAGCCGCGCCACAACTGGGGTGAGACATGCCTTGGGGCTTGCTCGCTACCCTGCGCTTTCCCTTTGCTGTACTCAATTCGCCCGCATTGTGCCTGAGTCCTTTGGGGAGGGGTTTGTTAATTTGGAAGGGGGCTGGGGCAGGGATGCTACATGTTGTATACTTCTGTGGTCTGCAAGATTATGCATTGCATGTTGGGAGGCATCTGGCCAAGTACTTGAGTCTTGAAAACCCTTAAATCCACTTGGAGACCCGAAACCGCAAGGCTTACCAGAAACCCTAGGTGCTATCAGTCTCTCTTGCTTGGCAGACGGCAAGCAACCTGAAGCGTAGCTGCTAGGCGGCCTAGCGCTCGACATGGGGCTCTGTTGCAGGTTCTCAAGCCAAATTCCTGCATGTACAATACAGGTAGAAAGCCCAAAAGAGTATTGGTATTTACTTAGGCCGTCTCAGTGCCCGGCAAGAAAGTCAGTTGATGGAGCGAGTTCGCAAGATGCCCCAAACTCCAAATAGCCATGCATCTTTCCTCTCAGATTTAGACGGAACCGTGAGCACGGGTTTATCATCAAACCCCTGCCCCTGGGATAGGTGCCGAAGGGCCACATGTACCACCTAGACCTCTACACTCGTGGCCCCTAAGCCCACGTACCCAAATCCCCTACACCCCAATATGCCGCACCAACCCTAAACTCAACAATTACTATTCTAGACCCTTATACTCTCCCCTCTACTCCCAAACCTGTTACAACCCTTGACCCTAGTACACTAGCCATGGTTGGTCCTCCTTGTCCGGTCTATGTGATCTCGCTTAAGCGCCACAAAGATCGGCGTCGACGTATGCAGCAGTTTCTGGATGCGCTGGAGTGTGCCTCTGCTGTCTGGATTGATGCCATAGACGGAGAGACACTGCGATGTGCGGAGGGACGGTACCGCCAATCAAACGGTTTGACCACCTTCAGTTGGACACAGGGCCTACAGCGAGTAGTTCGTCGATGCCGTCTGGGTCGCTTGGCCGATGCTGCTCTGGCGAAGCCTTGGGGAGTGTTGGGGTGCCTTCTTTCTCACGAGCTTGCTTTACAGAGCGGCCTTGCAAGCAATGCTCCATTTTTTGCAGTTGTTGAGAGTTTATACGGCTTGGGAACTTTACCTTTCTGTGCTCCGTCTCTCCTCCCTCCCCTGCATGCCCCCCTGAAACCACCACTTTGCCAAGATGTAAGGAGATTAGGTTTAGGGTCCACCTGAGCCCCCAAACTTTTTGGGCTCATATTCGAGCTCATAGTGAGGACCCCCCCCAAAGAAGGCTGGTTTTGGGGATTAAGGTAGGGTTTAGGTTTTGGGTATTATTGTCGAGACCTGTAGAGCATGTTCACCTGAAGGTCCATACTCCGAATGTACCCATGTAGTATAGACTGTCGCCCCGTCTATTGCGACTACATGGATCCGTAGGCTTCCAGGAATTCTCTACATCCCGACACTCAGTTTCAGGACCTAAGACGCCCCACGCGGAAATAACCCTGAGCCGCAAGCCCTCAGCCGTAAACCCTTTACTAATATATGTCCCTCTAACTCCTATACCCTCAACCCTAAAATTGAATCTCATCTCAGAGCAGAGAACCCTAACCCCTAAATTCAAACCCTAAACTGCGTACATGGACCCTTAGTGCTGCCATCCCTGAAGAGTTCCCCTTCCCTGTAGCTTTACCCTCCAAAACCCACATCTGCAAGGACTGACATAAAAGATAACCCATAATAAGGGACCCAAAAAGGCAGGTTTCGGGGGGGTTCATGGTTCAGGAAGCGTTCGAGCTCAGGAGGTATGTAAATGGGACATGGAGTTGTAATCGGGATTATGCAGCTTTTTATAGTACTTGATGCTGCCAGGCCTTGGCCAAGGCTTACCCCCAGGCCGGCGTGTTTGTGTGTGTATGTATATATATATATATATATATATACATACGCGCATATGTGTATGTATGTTTGCATGCATTCAAGCATGCATGTATGTGTACACATATATGAATATTCATTTGAAATGTGTGTGTGGATATATATATATATATATATATATATATATATATATATATATATATATATATATATATATCCATCTATCTATCTATCTATCTATCTATCTGTCTGTCTGTCTGTCTGTCTGTCTGTCTGTCTGTCTGTCTGTGTTCGCTTTCGCGGCGGCAGGCGCCTTTCACAGCCTGTTGGCTGGTGCGGCTTATCGCTCGCGGGGTTGGCATGCTTTAGGGGGTGTTTTGGGGTGTCGTCTTTTTTTCTTGGGCATTCTATGTGTTGAATGCAGACGTTTCGATATTGTTGAGCGGGGCCCCCGTCCAAATCTGCTGCTTGACCGGTTGCTTCAACTAAGTCTGGGGTTACATAAGGGTTCAAGCGACGACAGAGATCCAAAACCCTCCCCTAAATCCTAGGCCCTGACCCCGAGACCCTGAATCGTTTGCTCGATCTAGAAGGTTTGGGGTTCGATGAAACCCAGGACAAGCCGTAAGGTAGACCCATGCCTATAGTAAACCCCTTTAACTAATCTTACAGTTGTACGGAGTCGAACCGCAATCCAAACGAATGCAAGGTCGTTGAAGAGGCTTTCTCTATGAAAGTTGCAAGTGGAGTTCAAGCTGGCATCTCATTTAAGATACTTGTAATCCGCTTTGCGACCCACTCACCTGGCTGTACCTCGTGAACTCCGGCAGTGACACGTAGGCTTTAGTTATTTGCAGGTTTTGGGATTTGGGGCTCCAGGGCGCTTTCCCTAACACCTAAACCTTTGCCGACAGCTTTCCTTACCTTTGGTTAGTAGGGAATGGAAGAATGGTGGTAGTTATAAATGTACCCCATTCCATTCCCTACTAACCAAAGGTAAGTTTCCCCAAGTGGACGAAAAGAGTGGGCTCTTCAGACCTGTTCCTTGGCGCTCGGCAATCTCCTCCACAGAGTCACATGGACCTGTTCCTCAGGGTCGGAATGCCCAAACAATATGTACTGGGGTTTTACGAAAATCCAGTCAGAGGATAGTATTTTGGGCTTGACTTGAAGCCTTACTACGTAAGGCCCTACTACTTAATTTTTGAATCTTCAATCCCGAAGGGGCCCTGAAAGCAAGCCGCTACATTTGCAAGTTAGGATAGGTTCCCTTTTAGAAGCTTTCTTATGCACTTAGCTGGGTAGGTAACTTTAGTCTTCCGGGCGAAGTTTTACAATCGCAAGACAACCGAAATGTTCAGCTGGTTTGGGCCAGAGTGCCGACACATGGCTGTGGAGGCTGGGTAGGAGGAGGGCCATACTATAGAAGCCCAAATAATTACCAATATCATTCCTTGGGATCCTTATTACACTCCCGGAACACCAGTTAGCATATGGACCCGGGGACAATTAGACAATTAGACAAATGACCCGGGATCCCGGGTCATTTGTCTAATTTCATCCCGGGCCAAAAACAACGCAGTTAGCATATGAGTTTTCCCGGGTCCCAACAACCGCAGTTAGCATATCCCGCACCGCAGTTAGCATATGGTCCATGCCAGGAATGTGAGCTTTTTTTGGTGGTGGGAGGGCGTGAGTCGGAGGAAGTTCTGGTAATTCTGGGAGGTTTTGCATGAGCGGGGGACAACTTCAGAAGAGTTGATGGAACTTGCGCCTCTGCTTGTGTTGTGCAACTGTACAGTACTGTACAGTATGGGCATATCCGAACCGCAGTTAGCATATGGTTCTTGCCAGGAATGTGGGCTTTATTTTGAGTAGGAGGGCATGAGTCGGAGGAAGTTCTGGTAATTCCGGAGGTTTTGCATGAGCGGGTGCAAATTCAGACGAGTTGATGGAACTTGCGCCTGTGTTTGTGTTGGAGATGAGGGGGGCAGAAGAGGAGAGTGAGACAGCAGAGGGTAAAGGGCTACTGCACTGTACTGTAGCGTATGGTACAATAGGTTCCTGCTGCAGGCTGCCATGAACACGACTTTGAGAGTGACAGGGGCGAGGGCAAATGGGGAGCGTGCTGTACAGTATTGTATTGTAGAGTACACTACAGTGCGGTACAGTACAGAACCGTGTTGTGCAGTATTGTACTGATCAAAGAAGAGAAAGCCGGCATGTGCTTTCACTGTTCACTGTTCGAAGAGGAGAAAGCTAGCAGAAACCCCAACAGTACTGTGCAGTAAGCCCCACAGTGAACCCTAAACCAAGTACAGTAAGTGTTTACTGCAGCTCGATTTTTATCATACAGTATATGTGTCATATCAGGTCATTTCGTCGGTTTTAGGAGGCACGAATATGCTAACTGCACTGGTTTTACTGATATTCCCTTCAGTTTTTGCCCTTTCGGATGCCCATCTTTGCATCGAGGATGGCATATGCTAACTGCAGTTTTCTTGACATGCTAACTGCATTTCGCCTCGGTATGCTGGTGCTTTTCGTGTCCCCACACGAGAAGATAGCATATTTTGGACCCCTCTATATGCTAACTGCAGTTGTTTTTTTTGTCTAATTTCATCCGGGATTCCAAACAGCATCATATGCTAACTGCACTCCCAAAAAAACGCATATGCTAACTGGTGTTCTTGAACAGTATAGCTATGCTGATATACTTTAATAGGCCGCCAAACGCGTTTCTACAATTTTGAGGCCCCTATATCAAGTCGGCTGAAGCCTGGCTGGTGGCCATGCAGCGCCTCTCTCTCACATGGAGAAGCTGTGTGCATTGCTTCTGCTGCTTGTGCGCTTCTGGTCTGCCCGAGCATGCACTAGCGATATGGAGCAGTCTTTCATCAAGTCCAAAAGCTTGTGTTTTCGCTTGCATGGTAGCCAGGGGCGCTGTTGAAGGAGTGGATTAGGTGAAAGCTCTCTTGCGAGCTTTAGCTTTTCACGGCTGCAGCGGAGGTTTGGAGCCTCTTGAGTAGACTTGACATCCGTGGCTGGAATGGTCATGTCAACGGGGTCATCGATCAGCGGCCCCGACCCAGCTGCTGCAGCAAGCGCAGTTTATGCATTTCTATGGTCCAATGCGTGCAGCTGCATGTAAGCATGCAGGAGTTACGATCCTCGCGCCTTGCACGTTGTCAATCAAGTTCAGGTCGACTTTCAAACCCTACAGGGTTTCGGATTTTGGGATGACGAGCCTTAAAACCTCCAATCGCAGGCACTTTTCTGGCCGCTTCAACTGTCTTCACACCAGGACGGGCCGAGTTACGCAGGAATCTGTTCAGCGCACCAGTCTCATGAAGCTTTAGCATTTTCCTATAGTCTCCATTGTAGTTCCTTTTCTTGGTTAACAAAAATCTCTATTATAGGTTCTTAACCATAAGACTGGTTGACCAAAAAAAGGAACTACAATGGAGACTCTAGGTATAGGATATTTAGACACCAAGCTCGCAGACCCTAAACTCCTCAGCCCTCAAGCCGAAGCCCAGATGGGCCCGGACGAAGCCCAAAGCTGGTGCACGAATCTTGAATCCAAGGGTAAAAGGAGGGACAATTAATACGGACCCCTAGGTATATACCCTTAATATAGCCATTATATACCCATTGTATGGTCCATTATAGGGTGGGGGTCCCCATTAAGGGTCCCTCCTTTTCCCCTCTGATTAAAGATGATGATAATGGAACTTAGTATTGTTACAAGTACTTAAACTGGGGATAGAGTCAATTACAAGTGTAGTTAGTTACCTTTTGTATAACATCTTACAAGCTTAGATGCTAAGTTTCAATATCCTTTTAGGCGATGCTGCTTTTGTCCAACATCCTAGGCAATAGCTCCCATTAAACACCGAGTTCTTGAACACAAGCTATCCTAAGCCCCATGTATGTGTTTTCTGGCAAGCCCTACTTACATAGTACCCATGAGCACCAAGCGGTTTGGCAGACGTGACCCTTCTATACAGCCTTAAACCGCCGGATCCTTGTTGTTACGAGCCCTGAAAAGAAGGCACGAGCTTAACAAAGAACCTGAAAGGTACAAAACCGCAAGCAGCTGTAAACGGCTTTAAAACTTTCTAAAAGTCTATCACGTTTCCAAGAACTGGATCTTCTAGAACTTCACAAAACTCAATATTCAACAGCATTGTACACTCCCGAAAGCCCCAGTATAAAGCCTCTGTTCAACCAGAACTTCCCCTAAGGGTCCATGTACCCAATTACGAAGTATATACTCAGCCTTGTGGCACTCCCTATACGAGTACCATACTATTTGGGCACCTGGAGCCTCAGGTTTCTAAAGACTTTTTCTTATCCCCCAACCCTATAAGCCCTAAATCCTCAACTGTCCATTCGCACCCGAACTTCTACTTTGTAGCTGAGTAGGTATCCTTTTACCTTCTAGGGGTTTTTTGAATCTGACCAGAATTGAGAAGGTCAGCCTTTTGGGGGCTAGGATACTCAGTCCTAAGGGGTTTAGGGGTTAGGGGCTTAGGGTTTAGGGTAGGGTGTCGGCCAGGATACTCAGTCCTAACCGAACCCTGAGGCTCCATGTACTCATATAGTATGTACATTTACCTTAAAGTACTCCCTATATAGGTACATTGGGCCCAAAGTATATGCTATATGGGTACATGGACGCTTAGGGTAAGTCCATCTTCAGAGGACATCATCGGGCAGCGCCAGGCGGTATTCAAACCTCTCTGGGCAGCCTTGGAGAAGACGAAGGCCATCAGCAGATCGCTTTAGGTCGTTGTCGTTTTCAATAGACGAGCTCTTAAAGGGATTTTACCTAGAGTGTCATACCCCACCCCTTTTAAGAATGCCTACATAGTTTTATGTTAGGATCCGCCATATAGACGAGAAGGTACCTTTAAAAATGGCAGAATTTTTATGTTCCCCTGTCCGCTTTTCAAATCACTACGTCCGATCCCGTTTCGCAACAACGGCCTCTCCACAGGAAAATTATCTGGGAATCGGCCCTCACTCAGTAATAGTTAAATAGATAGTATTCATAATATAGATATATCAGGACCTTGATAGTAGCCCTATTAAATCCTATTATAGACTCTTACTGTATGGGGGCAGTACCTAAGTTTTACCCTTCAAAACAGGGGTCTCGGATCGATGCGCGATCGGAAGCTGGGTTTAGGGTTTAGGGGTTTAGGGTTTAAAGTTTAGGCTTTAGGCTTTAGGGTTTAGGGGTTTAGGGTTTAAGGTTTAGGATTTAGGGTTTAGGGTTTAAAGTTTAGGGTTTAGGGTTTACCGCGATCTGGTGTTTGGCATAGGGTCTGGGGTTCCAGGTAGGCCCTATAAAGGCCCCAAAGTAGTTCCTGTTTGGGGTTCATACTTAGGATTCTATAAGGTAATCCCAAAAAGGAACTACTATGGGTCCTATGGGTAGTATATAGAAATGTTGCCGCAAATGCTTTACTCAAGATTTCAGTGTTTTGAGTGTAGGGTGCGCGGAGCGAGAACGCTTGTAGTCTAAGGTTCTAAGTATGGGCCCCTACTGTGGGCTCGTAGCCCTTTTGTGTAGATCTCGGGTGTACATAGTAGGTATGTAAGGATCCCAGGGATAAGGGCCCATACTAGGGGCCCAGGGTTTCACCCTTAGATGTAGAGCTTAATAGAAACCGAGGAAAACAAAAGGTACCAGAGACGGTGGCCAGTTTGTTCGAGCGAGCTTCTCAGAAATGTGGGCCGAAAAATTTTAGACCCATAGAAAATGGCTTCGTTATACAGGGATCTCCAGTATTCACAGAACTGTAGCAAGCGCGAGGCACCCACTAAGACGGCCATCACCTTCACACAGGCACTCGAACGTCCGGGACCTAGGTTTAGCTACAACTTTGGTGCTATGTAGAGTTTAGCGGCCAGCGCTGTATAAAGACTTTACGGAGCTTTGGTTTTCAGGTTAGAGTCTGGTTTGGAATTTGACTGCTTCGGGATGTTTCGAGGGATCTGGAGTTTCGGAGTCTGAGGCATCAGCCGAAGCCTTGAAAGCATTCGCCTAGCTGGAGCAAGGTAATTATTGGGTTTGATTGCAGCGTTTCTGGTTCACTGCACTAAGGTTGACAGCAAGGTTCAAGGTTCAGAGTTTGGCTATGATTTTGATTGTTTGTTCGGTGCATGTAGTTGCTGCGGAGGCCTGTTGAAATGTTGTCCAACTAGACCTGGTAGGTCGTTTCGGGGAAAACCACATGAATCCTAAACCCCCATCGCTGTAACCGCCCCAAGAGATCTGCCTTTGTAGGACTCCCTGTTATGATTTCGTTGTAGAAGTCCGTAATTATGTAGGTTTTCGGGGGGTTGAGGTCATATACACCTTAAGCTTCAAGACACTAATCGCTCCATCTACACACTGATCATCAAACCCTAGCCAGGCCACAGTGTATGCAGCGAGCTTTATGCACTGAGGCCTGACGCATCCGGAGAAAAGCTTCCCACCGGAGCTCCCCACTCAGTTGGAGAAAACTGCACAGGCCTTGCAAGCTTTGGGCAGATGACAATGATCAGGTTGGTGTCTTTGCTCAGGTGACGTGTTAGACAGTGATGCTTCTTAGTCCTTCCGCGTTCAAAAGTCGTCACTCCTACTATGCAGAAGCCTTTAAGTGAGCCCGGTTTAGCGGCCTAAAAAAAACCTATAAGCCCTAAACCGCCTAAACCCCTCAGGTTGAAAAGCTTCCAGGAAGCTTGGAAGGCCAACAACGTTCCCATGGCGAAGGTGCTTGCTGCAGACGCTTTTTCGGGTTCCGCCCAAACCTCAATTGAAGGCGCTGGAGGCACGATACGCAGCATGCAGGTAGGACAATATACCTTACTCCCCCGAAAGCCCACATTTTCCAGGATTGCGTAATATCGAGAAGTCATAACCCCCAAACCCTAAGCCCTTCAACCTTCGTAGCCCTAAATTCCTGCATGGAGGCGCGGTGGAAGAAGCTATGGCAGAAGCACGTGGAGGCCGTCGTAGCACTTCAGCAGCTGCAACCATGTTTTAGAGAAGCCTGAATACATGGTAGTACCAATTTCGTATTCCTCAGGGGTTCCTTATTACAATATGGGTGGTTGTCAAAATTAAGGTCCCTTTTTGGGTACCCTAAATATTAGGTGCCGTATTATATTAGGGACCCAAAGAGGGACCCTAATTCTGACAAGCACCCATATATGCTATGAGAATTTCTGAACCGTCTGAACCCCTATTCTAGCAGTTGAGGCTCCTACTATGCCTAGGTCCAACGGTACATCCCGTGCTTTCTGCCCAAACCTAAACATCGAATCACTGCGGCACCCAGGGTTGAGGGTTTGTGCGTTTAGGTGTTCAGGATTTAGGGCTGGGAAGTGTTGTAATAAACGGGCCTGAGCAAGTAGCAATACGTACTATTCCCTGAGGTTCCCTGTCATTTGTAACATTGAACATACCCTTCTCGTATGACATCAAAACGAAGACCTTCTGGTAAGTGCGTATTATAGATCAGGGCAACTCCGAGTTTGCGGGATGGAGGATGGCAGCGCCAGTGGTGCTTTCCTAAATCGTACCAAACCTCAGCAACCTGGAGGTCAGCGTTTTAGGACTTTTTAACTTATGAAATTCAGCATCAGCACCTATAACCGCCTGTCCCCAAGGATCCAAGGATCATTCTGGTATATACTTAGACCCCCAAAATACCATATAGGTATATTCCATAATGATACTTGGACGACCCTTTGGGTGTTGCCATTTCAATGAAGCCCTACACCATCTCCCGCCCCTGAACCCAGAAGCCTAGACCTCAAACCCTGAACCCTATACCCTTAAACCCTATACCCTTAAACTCTAGACCCTTAAATCCTAAACCCTTAAACCCTATACCCTCAAACCCTAAGTCCTAGCCCTCAAGATGCCTTAAAGGAACCCCCAGGGTAACCCTATACCTAGTAGTAGAGTAGGCAACCTTTAACCTTTCTTGGGTACTATAGTCCGTATATATAATCCCTATATAGCCAAAAAGGTTAACCTTTAGTTCCCCATGATAATACCCGACAAGTAGGATGTAGTCACGCTATGAAGATACATTTGGGTGGTTGTCAAAATCAGGGTCCCTTTTTTGGTCCCTAATATAATACGGCTTAGGAGGGGCCCCCACCCTGTAATAGTGGCAGAATAGGAACATAATAGGAATATAATAGGGCCCTAATATAATCCTTATGGTCTCTATTACTGGGTGGGGGCCCCTTCTAAAATACGGCACCTAATATTTACTTAAAGGATCCTGGGACTTAGTAAGTAGGGTTATAAGTAGGATATAATTAGGATAACCCCACTTAGGGGACTTATAACCCCAGTTATAACCTATTTACTAAGTCCCATGATCCTCTAAGTAGGGTACCCCTTCATTCAACCCTGAGCCGGCGAAATTGTTCGCTTCTTGCGAGGTCGAGGCCAGGGAGGCGGCTGGTCAGGCCGGCCGAGGGTGGCAGCTTGGGGTCTGAAAAAGGGTTTAGGGTTCCAGGGTATTAGGCTTCAGGGTTTGAGGTTTAGGGTTCAGGGTTTAAGGTTTAGGGTTTAAGGTTCAGGGTATGAGGGTTCAGGGCTTAGGGTTCAGGGTATAAGGGTTTAGGGTGTAGGATTCAGGGTTTAGGGTTCAGGGTATTAGAGTTTAGGGTTTCAGAATCGCGATGACCAAAAACTGGATGGTAAAAGAGCATTAGAAGCTCTGTTCAATCCCGTCCAGCCTCTTGAAACAGGAGAGGATTTCAGGATACGCAGCCTCCCGTTTTTGAAGCGAGAGCCAGGGATACCAGCACGCAGGCTGTTTCAAATTCAAACGCGAGAATCCGGAGTTGCTGAAATTGTGGAACGGAATGCTGCTCGCTCGCTTACGAACATGGCCTATGCGCAGCTGTACATGACCAGTGCACGCTCCGTGGCCCTGCGCTGGTACTTCATATGCCTCTTGGCTAGTGGCGGGGTTTGTGCCTGTGTGGATGCAAGCGCATGGGATGAGCAGCACACAGCTTCAACATATGAGTACAAGGACACTCAGGGCTCTGGACTATACTTGGCGTCTTGGAAGGGCCTGACCGCAGCTCGTGAGAGGGGAGGAGCTGCTGGAGGAAAAGGGCTGGGAAGAACACCTTCCTCCGCAGCTCCCACTCTTTGCAAAAGGGCTTAACCAAGCTCTTTAGTTCTGAGCTAGCCCCTCAAGTAAGAGCTCACCCGCTTTCGGTTATGGGGTTTAGGGTTTAGGTTGTGAGGATAGTTAGGCCTTTGCATGGCGGGCCCTCATGTAGGTCTTGGCGTGCAGAAAACCTTACTGTTGGTTCTTTCATAGATTTCCAGCCATGCAGCAGACTCAGTATCCAGAAGACGGAGCCTTAACCCCTGGGTAAACCCTACAGGTCTACAGGTTGGATGTCCCTTGGCCCTCATCCCTACACCCTAAGCCCTAAACCCCAACACGTCAACCCTAAACCATGGACAAACCCTAAGCCCCACCCCTTAAATCCTGTACCCTAGACCCTATAGACCCTAAGCCCTGAACCCCTAAATTACCCATTAACGCCCGTGATCGCTGCCCAGGTCCACGTCGAGTTCGCCCAGAATGTCAGGAAGAAGATTCAGGACAGCTCCGGACTGGGTTTAAGAAGGACTTGAGGGTCTTTTTGGATTTGTATTGCATTTGTTCATGGGGTTTTGAGGGTTGAGCTCTATTCATACGGGTTGTATAGGGTTTTGTGGTGGTTTCAATAGGGTTGAATCTCAAGTTGAATAGTCTGGGGTTCTTTAGGGTGTAGGCTTGGTTCAGGGTAGAGGGATTAAGGTTTAGAGGTTTTAGTTTTTAGGGGCTTGGGGATTCCACACTGGGTTTTGTAAAGGGTTATGCAAGGGATTCGTAAGGATTCCGTATTTTGTGTTTGGGGGTTCGGAGTTTAGGTTTGGACCAATATTGGGTCCTATGTACCTACGTAGCATAAGGTATAAGCTCGATCTGAGGAGTCACTGCTATGATTTGTATCGTCTCATGGCATCATATAGGTACGATAAGTCCAAGTGTATACTAAATAGGTACACGGGGCGTTGAGGTACGCATGTAACGTATCCTGTAATGCTTATACCCGGGTGTAGGCTTTGCAAGAACATCGGGGCAGCTTAGCTTAATCCGTGACATATGTAAAAGTACTGTAGCTACATAGGGTGTAGGGTTTGCAAGAACATCGGGGCAGCCAGAACCAACGAACACAGGTTTGCTACTTGAGCAGCTGCCGGCGAACCACCACACCCATTTTCGTGCCAGTCCCGGTCCCCCCCTCCCCCGTCTCCAACATCCAGTGGCCTGACGATCGCATGCGGCTTCAGCACATGGTTCCATGCACCAATAAATGCAAGGCATACAAGGCATGCAAGGCATGCATGCATGGCGTGACATAAAGAGCATGATCCAGCCTATGCAATGAACGGAAACATGGTTAATGCAAGTAATGCAAGATCATGATCGTGATCAAGCCATGATCATGCAAGGCATCCATGTAATGCAAGTCATGATCGTGGTCGATCTATCGATAATCATGCAATACAAACATGGATGTGATCATCGAGCTATACTTGATGCAAGGAAAACATGCCCATGACAAGTAATGCAAGCCATGGACGCGATCAATCGAGATATAATCATGCAAAGAACACATTTCATGCAAATCATGAAAGGCATGGTCGTGATGAGAAGACTTCCAAAACCACAAATACATAATCAAAAAGGCGTCCCGGGTCCCAAAATCAATAAATGCACCATCACCCCCCAAAATACACGAGGACGTTAAAATCACACCACAGGGTTCTCCAGTAATCATCGCCCATCGAAAATCGAGCACGAAGGACATGCGTGTGAAGGTTTGGACGCATGAGGTATGATGACCAAGAGTGGACCAGCGAGAACGTGACCCGCAAAGCGAAGACATTGCTCCAACCCCGGACAGG